ACAGAAGGCTGCATCCTAGTGAGGCTGTTTCCTTCTTAGTCCAGTCTTTCGGAGACGTGTAAGCCAGAGCCCCCCAAGCATTAAATTCTGGAATGAAACGATCTAGTAAATGCACATGGCTACGTCACACATGTATACCTTCATTTCCGAACTCAGACAAGCTCAGTGCCGACTCATTTTCCATCAGTTTTTTTTATGAATTGGAATGTGTGCAAAGGATTGTGGGTGATTTAAGGATCCAAAGGATATACTTGATGCATCCTTCAAAATGAGCTGAATAAAGGACACAAAAGGAAGGCAGCTTCCCAAGGATCCTTCAAATTAAGATAGCCTTCAGCAACGCTTGATGACGTGGCAGCCAAGATATGCCGCCTTTCTAGGATCATGCAGCCTTCCGTTTGAGAAGCACCCTAAATGTGTTTCAACATCTTAATTCATGTCAATTAGTTGTATTTTAACTTACAGTGTCAGTGACTATAAAGTTCCATTGGCGGCACTGTCCGAGAGCCAACTTGCCCTGTGTCACCCGGAGAGGGACTTGCTCCCTCTGGTGTTAGCTAACTGCCATTACACACTAAAGAAGGGTCAGCAGACAATGAGCTCCTATGATCATCAGGCTATTGAGAGAGAACTCAGCAGACGATTTTTTGCAAGCAAACCACGCATTCAAACAGTGAGTCCACACATTTTAAACCTTATTATCATACTGGTGTTCAATATATGACCAGATTCATTGGTTACTTAAAAAATCATAATTAAAAATGTATTACAGGACACTGATAAATATCTGAGAAGACGCCATCAGAATTTTATAGAAGTCCTCAATGAGGTCAGAGCCAAAATACCTCAGGTAATTTTCTTCAGTCTCTTTGCACTTCATTCATTTGATCAAAATCAGTAGGCAAAATGCCTCTGGTTTATGGTGATTTAATGTAGAAATATAATATTATATAATTAATATAATTATTTATGAATACATTTTTATTTAATTGAAAGTCCACTTGAATATTTCTTTAAATGAAAGTATTTTTTCTTCTTAAGGAATCCTCATTTTTCCCATTTGATTGACAGGAACCTCTGAAGGGCTCTCTGCTCAGCTCCATGAGATCAATGTTACGTTCATTCACGGATGTGTGTGATGCAGTGTATGTCGTGGAGATTGGACTGCGTTTCCTAGGTAAAACTGGAGGAGACCCACAGGCCCTGCTGCTGTCCTATCTGACAGACTCTTTGAAAATGGACCAACAGATCTCAAGTAACATAGCTGAGGTGAGGCATGTATTTAAAGCAGTATCTTCAAGGAAATTTAACCAAGCAGGTATTTCACCACTACTCTCAGTGCCTATCACCTGTGTGCTTCTGTAATTCGAATCCACGCTTCTTGGTTTCAGGCTTTAAAAGAGAACCGGCTCAGTCAGTGCACAGCCACCTGGCAGCTCCTTACCTGCTGGAAAAGTGAACAGATGATGAGGAAAGGACAGGTAATTTGACATTCAGCTTAGCTGTGATGTGGAAAATACAAGAAGGTTGTTTTGAGACAATTAGTACTGTATGTCATTAAGATACATAGCTATCACATAGTATTTTTTTTTTACATCTAAACTATGAATTACATTTATAGCATTTGTTTTCTTCTATTCATGTAGAATAAGGCGGGTGGCGTTAGCTTTTAAAATGAGCGACTCAGGTTTGTATCAGCTCAGAGTAGCATTTATTTTAAATGAAAAAATACGAAAATAAGGAAATAAAGTGCCTATAACGGGTATTTAATAGTGGGAATGAAGTGTTTAACTGGTAGGGTTAGAAGTAGGTGTAGGGAAGGTAATGTCAAGTACTGTACAAGTAATGTCCCAATAAAGCAGCATCCATTTATTATTTTAATAAATATGATAAAATACTCTGAATATGTTATTACATGTTGTTTTATAATATACTACAATACACTGAGGTGCAAATAGTTTCTGCCACTATTTGCACTAAGTATAAATAGCATCTAACAAATATTTACACTTAGTGCAAATAGCCGGTGCCTTAGTATAAAATACACTGCTGTGTAAAAGTTTGGACTAGGTATGATTTTTTAAAAGAAATTGATAGTTGTATTCAGTAAGGACGCATTAAATTGAGCAAAATGGACAGTAAAGGCATTTATAACATTGAAACATTTCTTGTTCAAATAAATGCTGTTCTTTCTTACTTTATCAACAAAAATGCATCACTGTCTCTATAAAAAAAAATGTTAAGCTGCACAACCGATACTAATCAAAAATGTTTCTTAAGCAGCAAATCAGTATATTAGATGATTTCTGAAGAACTGTCTGACACTGAAGACTGGAGTAATGATGCTGAAAATTCAGCTTTGTCATCTCAGGAATAAAGTCAATTTTAAAATATATTCAAAAAAAGAAAACAGTTAATAATATTTCAGAATATTACTGTTTTACTGAATACTAGATGCAGCCTTTTTCAGCATAAGAGACTTCTTTCAAAAATATAAAGAAAAATCCCAAAATTTTGAATGGTAGTATATGCATAAATGATTTCTGTTAAAATGAATGTTTTTACAGTGCATTCTTTGTACAGGCATCTAATACCCCCCTTCTGCTTAGCTATTTAGCCTGTCACTAAACTGACCCCATTACTAGTAACCTCTGTTGACCTCCTCTGATTGACCCTAAACAACAGAGAGAGTGGACAAACGAGGGTTGTAAATCCAAGGGAGAGCTTTAATAAGAGAGCGTGTGCCACAAACAACAGTTCAAAGACTTTTAACCCATAATCTTCTGAATAGCTGGACCTTATTGATTAAATACAACAGTACGGCGTTTTTTTTTCCACGCTTCATTCCAGAACATACTAATGATGTTTTCATCTTTATTGATCCAGTGTATTACGGTTTTTCTAATTGAAATCTTTTACAATTTTATAGAATCCATTCCAGCAGTTGTCCAAAGAATTCAGAGATAATCTGAATTCAGAGGAAAGAAAGCAGGTGAAGGTTTTCCTTGGGTTCACGGATATTGACATTTTCTCTTTGGAATTACATGAGATCCTTCAGCTCATGACCAACTGCACTGTGGAAGACGGCTTCGCTCCGCACTGGGAGTAAGAACTGATCTTATTTTTTTTACCTTTTTATTTCCCCTGCATTTTAGCCGTCTGGACTGCAGCCTTCTGGGTTCACCATTTGTGAGAGTGGGGTTTATTGAGGCAAACTGGCTACAAAAGGCAAACTGCCCACAAAAATGGCCTGACCATTTTTCACATAATGCTAGGCATTTGATTAGCAGACTTTTTAAATGTACATTTCATAAGGGATAACTACAGTCAGCCATTCATTATCATGAAAATAAACCTTTACAGAATGATCAGGACCCTAGAACAAAGCATTGGGGTCTTATGACACTGAAGGGAAAAGTAATTGATTGATTTGAAAATTGTTTTGTTGAAAACCACAAGTTATACTACAAACATTATACAAAAATATACTGCAAAATGCCAGTCAAGTATGTTAAAGATCTGAATAGTAATTCATTTTAAAACTGGATGACACTGGAACATTTTGATATATGGCTTGTGATTGAAAACATCAATCCAATTCCAAATTACTTACACCTTAATGTCATTGTTCATGGTAATTATTGTCAAAATAAAAAGTCAGGAAATGTTTTGGCATCCCAAGCAAATGCACTTAAAAAGACCCTATAGCATTTAATACCAAGTCCTACAACAAAAATTGACATAAGGGTCTTTTAAGTTTTACCCATAATGAGCACTTTCAATCACAACAATGCAGACCTCCTAGACCTAGTCATTCCCTGGAGACCTGTGGGCTTTTAGACCCAAGAGAGGCACACTTTGACCCCTCCAGGCTCCCATCTGTCAGTATGCCCTGTTCTGGTCACCTACTGAGCAGGCAGCTGGTCGGAAAGAATAGGAATGCGTGTGTTGAGAACAATGGAATCCAAATCTAACTGTTGATCCTAAACCACACCACTGAACACCCTTCCTCCTTTCTCTTTCTGTGTTCCACCACAGCATCCGCTCCACCATGGAATTGCATTTGGAGCAGAAGAACATCACTTCTTTTCCTGGTCTAGACACTCTTCCAGAGGAAATTACTTTGGCTAAAGCAGCAGACATCTGGAAGCTTGCAGTGGAGTTTAAACACTGAAATGTTCTTCTCAATGAGTCGCACCAAATGAATAATATGTGAAAAGATCTGGACTACTTTTGTTGATTTTGTTGTCAGATGTTGCTGCGTTTAGTCATTTTAGTTGTATAGGACTCATTCCAATGCCCTTAATCTTTCTGGTCTGTTTTATTGTTTATTCAATTGATTAAAAATAATCTGTGTTTACTCTTTTAGGACTTCGAATGTGTCTTCGAATTCTTAAGCACTTTATTGTTTAGATAGTTGTTTAGAATAGGATTCAGAGACCAATAATTAATTGATCAACACTGTATTGTTGTGAGACATTGTGTCATTTATTTTGCTTCATTCTACTTTTGTTATTAATCACTGGGACAAATAAAGTTGCATTACTGATCTACAGTGCATTTAAATTGTGACAAATTTGATTTGTATACAAAAGATACAAAAACTTGTCCAATTATTTTAGAAAATAAACAGTTTCTACACTTAACGGGTGCATAGTTTCATTTTCTGGTACAATTCTCTGGTAAAATGTAATAAAAAATTATATTTATAAAATGCAACATTCAACAATTAAATACATTTTTGCCATGTTTGTTAGTTATAATTATTAGTTTATTAGTGTGTCACATTTAAAACCCCCTTACTAGAAGTCATAGTAAATTATTTATCTCAGTAGCTCAAATTGACACCACATCTGCCGCCTGTGCAGCACGCCTACCTATCTTGCCTTTTCGTCACGCCTCTTTCAGCCATCATGTCTAAAATACACATCAAAATAGCCAATCAGATAATCGGATTGCTCGGAGCTCCACCAATCAAAACTCTTAATGGGCGGAGCTCGTGTGTGTTTTCTGGTTGCCAATGAAAAGATGTTGCGCTGTGGAGTTGGAGACAGATGAGAAATCACTGTCAGACGCTCCAAACGGGAATAACAACGCTCTTATTTGAATAAAGACAGTTGCCTCATCTGATGTGGACGATTTAGAGAAGGTAAGTAGTGGACTGACAGTTTAATCATACTGTATTCGTCGTGTTTATCATGTGAAGCTAGCAAGAAGTGGTGCAAGAAAGACAGTTTCGCCATAGCTGAGCCAAGTCAATGCAATCCTGTGGTAGTATCCAGTAACTATTCAATAAAACAACTGTTTATATTTTTTGCATGTTTCTCAGAGGCAGTGTATTGTGTATTGACCTTCATCAGGTTTGAGCTGATACCAAAGGAGGCCTTTGGTTTTAAATGTCCTTGTTTTTGTGTGTTTAAACTGTAGACAATTGTAATAGAAAGTTCCAGACTGTCCTATTTATATATAGTTTCATATATAGTTTCCAATTTACAGATAATATAAACTATTTAGGGAAACCAAACAGTGTTTGGATATCTTTTAATATATGATGGACGGCGTTGATGCTTTGAATCTGTTACCATAGAGACAGACCTATGGATGATTTTACTTGTCCGGTTCAACAGCATTTTTTACAGTATTCGTGTTGACATAAAATACTATTAATTAGGGTATTCCACCTTCTTCTGGTCTATAGGATCTAACGGTCATGGGAAAACCTGGAAATATAAGAGAAACTGAACATTGAGATTTCAAAGTGATGGAAATATTTATAGTCAATATAGATGTTTCTAGTTATGCTTAGCTCTAATAAATTAAATCAGTGTAAATACATATAATGTGTATAAAATAATTGTATTATAATAGTGATTTGGTAATGACATTGGACATTCATTAGTCAAAAGTTGTGGGAATCCTGACAGTATCCAGCACTACCTGTGGTTAGATCTTGCTTTTTTTAATGACCTCTTTTATGCTCATCATTTTAAGATGCATACAACTCGCAGTCCATCCGCATCCATCCAGACAGGAGCAGCTGGAGACGTACTGGACCTCAGCCTGAGCGGCTCTCAGCTCGCAATGGGCCGCAGACCCAGCAGTGCTTCACCTGGAAAACACTTCTCTCGATCCATATCTGTGTCTGTGGCCAGTGACGGCCGGGGGAAGCGAAACACTTTGGTGAGTCTGTTTGGCTACAAGACTGTGTAATGATCAACAATATAGTAGTAGGTGTCCCTTGTATAAGGGGAATCAAATAAACAATGATGATGGTCATAACTGTGTATACATAGCACTTCAGAGTGATTCAGAGTCAGACAAGCAGGTTATGCTTTATTTTATGCACAGCAGTTAAATGTTATTATGTGTTTTCATTGTCACTATTGAGATAACCATTAGGCCTAAATTAAAGCATACAATTGGCTCTTGATGCCACCATCTCCCCTTGGACACTTGCATTTGTCATAAAGGCAACTTTTCTGTCATGCATGTGTTTGTCTTCACCATTTGATTCATTTATTAAGATTTGGGCTAATGAAAATAAGGATATTTAATATCACCATTCTTTCTTTGTTTAAAGTACAGCAATAATTCACCCAAAATGTAAAATTCTGTCATTATTTACTCACCATCATATTTTTCGTGGGACACAAATGTACTTTTTAATACCTTCATATAGATTTTTACATACTATAAAAGCGCCATATAGGTAAATTAATACATATGACTCCTGCACTACATTTCACATCGCCTAAAGCCATGTGATAACTTTATGTGTAAGAACAGACTGAAAGTAATAATATTACTGTGCAGTTTGGACATCAATAACATCATTGGTTGTCTTGTAACCAAATGGCATGATGTAAAAACTGCTCCTTTAAAGTGAGAGATGCTCCATGTTAAACCTGTTCTAGTCTGCAGCAGGCCTAGTATTATAACTGTTTTGCACTCCTTGTTGGCAGACTGATGCTGGATTGGGAAGCTCACGGGCAATTAAGAACCTGCGTCGGTCTAACAGCACCACACAGGTGAACCAGCAGGCCAACACAAGCCCCAGGTACAGAACCATCTGTCATTCATTTGCATGCCATTTGACTCTTCTGGTGCTGATGAATCTAAAAAAAAAAAGAGATTTAAATCCCATTTAATAAAATTAAGCCTATTTTTAGGATCTTTTAGGTTTAGGGTTGTTTGTGACATTATTATTTTCATTACAATGAAACATTTTCTTTCCAATTCGCATAAAAAAAAAGGATATTGCACAAAACTATACTTATATATTAAGTTGTATAGTATTTATACATCATATGTTGTGCTTGCTGTAGTGTATGCTGAGTTGCTTTAAAAAATGTAGTGTTTACTTTTATAATACTGTTTAAAAAATACTACATTGATTGAATCTAATGGGATTTTTTTATCACCATAAATTTAAATAATTATATTATAAATAATAATATATTATATTATTATTAATGTATTAAGATATTTTTTATAATACTGTTTTTTTTTGCCAAAAAAAAAAATTGGCTTTGTTTTTTTTGCATTACGATAATGAGAATTTGAGGGGAAAATCTGTTTAATTATAATTAAAATGCTGTCTCAAAAAATAAATCTTGGTCCTAAAGGGACCTAAAATTGTCTTTATGAAGCATATAATTTCTGATTGATTTCTTTTGATTTTGCGATGAAATAAGATAATGTTTTGTGAGATTTACCCATCAACATGTGCCAGCTGTCCTATTCAGACCTTGAGAATGGATAAATCCCCAAGGGACATGAGTGAGAGGTTATTCAACATGTATGATTTTTTTTTAAAGCAATGATGGCATGTTTGTGCACGTACATGTCTAGCGCACATGCCTTCATGCACTCACTTCACCCAAGTTGTGGTATGCTTGGTTGATCACCTCCTAGACGTGGAGGATGGGGTTTTATACCCTTAAAGCAGCAACAGCTGGGGGTTTGAGTGAATTTGGTTTTCCCCAGACAATAGCTTTTGTGGCCTGGTGGCTGCAGCACTAGACAAGCAAGAGGGGGCCGGCTTCAGCTTTGTCAAGAGGGGAGCCGGGGTCTCCGGTTTCACTCGAATGAGGACGCAGTGAAAGGAGAAGTGTGCATGCTGAAATTCTTTTGTCCGGCAGCTGCCAGTCCTGCCCTCCCCTCCCCTCCCACTGCATCCTGGGATGCCACAGAGGGGTTTAAATGAAGGAACGACCCAATACCCCTTCCCCCTTCCTTCTGGTGTTTAATAACTGTCATTCCGTGACCCCTCTTTCCTCTGAATCACTTAAAAAGAGGAAATGTGGAGGAATGTAGTTCCCTGAATTGCTTTCCATTGGACCAGCTGACGCTAGGCGCCCCTCACACCCCCAAAACACTCACATATGCATACTGAAGTTGCTAGCACAGATGCCGGTGGGTCAAACATAGGGGTGAACATCATGTTAAACATTTGATGCAATTTAAATGTTAAGGGGTGCGATTGCCATATGCTTATGGACATCTGCCCCTCTGCTGTAGCATTCCTCTGCTGGGAGCCCAGTGCAGCTGTTGTCACCTCTGAAAAAGGAACTTTTTTTGATATGCTCGTCTGATATGTTTAGCTTAAATAGTCTGGTTGGTTTTACTGGAGATGAACCCTCCCACAAGTTTTAAACAATGTAGACTATGTTCAAAAGTTTGGGGTCAGTATGAATTAAATCAATACTTCTATTCAGCAATGACACATTAAATTGATCAAAAGTGACAGTAAAGACATTTATAATGTTAAAAAAGTGTATTTTGACCATTATATTCATCAAAGGACCCTAAAAAAATGTATCACGGTTTTCACAAAATATTAAGGCTGTTTTCAACATTCATAAAAAAAAGATTTTTTTTTTTTTTCAGGAACAGATCATATTAGAATGATTTCTGAAGGATCATGTGACACTGGAGTAATGGCAATAATAAATATACTGTATCCCTTTAATGAATTATATTTTAAATTATATTAAAATAGAAAACGGTTGCTGTAGTTTCTAAGAACATTTCACAATATTACTGTTTTTACTGTACTTTTGATCAAATAAATTCAGCCTTGGTTAGGGTTAAAAGAGACTTCTTTTAAAAACATTAACGGAAGTGTCAGTATTATTGCTTTAGTGTTTATATGTTCCTCATGTGTGTTTGGTGTGTAATACTCTGACCTTTCTTTCTTTCCTTCCTTCCTGTCTCTCTCTCTCTGCGTCTGATTGCAGTGAAGGCCACACAGAAGACTTCCTGGCTCTGTTCAACAGCAGCTCTGATGGACGTAGAAAACTGGCCGGCCTCTCCAAGACGTCCAAAGACCGTACCACTTGGAACATCCTGGTAATGTCCAACTCATCCACTACCTTATTTCTCATGCCATTGTGATTGTCAGATCTTATTAAACGTTTTTTAAGGGTAACTAGCCCTTCTGATTGTTATGCCATGAAAAGTAACTTAACAGAATGTATGAACTCAAAAGGCCTTAAACAGTGGTAAGAATAAAATTCATGTGGTCCGTCTTGCTTTCAGGATGATCAGCAGAGAGTGTTCCCTGTGCCCAGCAGCTCTCACAGTACCTGCAGTATGGATTCTCCTACAGGGCTGAAGAAGAGGGAAGCTGGCATCTCTCTGGCTGCTAACTTCACTGCCAACAACAGGTGGGAGGCCATTTTCTCCGACAGCGTAGGCACTGTCCTCATGGTTAGCTTTCCAACTCTGCTGCTGCCATGACAACAGTGTCACGGACAACTTTATGCCTTTTTTTTCTGCTTGTCAATTAAAGCATGAGCATGCCCTGGGGAGAAGATTGCTAGGATTCCTTTCGACTTTATGGCTTTTAAATATACAGAACCAGAATGTTTATATTACACTTGAAAGAATTTATGTTTCTAATTATCTTAAGAATCCTTTTCAAATTACAGTTCATGCTAGAATTCTTGAAATTAGTTTGGTAGACAAATATAAATTGCTTCTAAATTGTGAGTTTCTTCTGTTTGGTAACAGACTCAGTAAGATTAAATTTTTATGCATTTTTATTTTGAAACATTAAATTGATCAAAAGTGACAGTAAAGACATTTTTATTTTAAATAAATGCTCTTCTTTTGAACTTTCTATTCATCAAAGAATCCTAAAAAAATAATAATTTGATAATAATAAGAAATTGAGCACCAAATCATCATATTAGAATGATTTCTGAAGGATCATGTAACACTGAAGACTGGAGAAATGGCTGCTGAAAATCCAGATTCGCCATTACAGGAATAAATACAGTTTTAAAATATATTAAAATATAAATGGTTATTTTAAATTGGCATTATATTTCACAATATTACTGTTTTTACTAACACCTCACAGTTAAGGGGAAATTTTTTATTTTTCTGGATAAATTGAGATTTAAAATGCAACTTTTAAAGTAAATTAATAGAGCTGCACAATTTGGCCCGAAATGTTGTGCTTGTACATCAATATGACTAATAATAATTATGATTATTAATACTAAATAAAAATATTAACAAAAATAAGAATTATTACTATTTAATTATTAAAAATAAAAAATACAATACATTGGAGAATAAATATAATAATATAATCATTACAATTATAACATTAATATTATTTTTTAAGAGAATTTTTTTTAAATGGAAAACTGCAGGGCGTCCTATAACTATAAATCATTAGAAAGGAGCTTTTCTGTTCACTACATGAACAAAAACATAGATTATCATGTTTACTTCAAATTTCTTTAGACAGAAGTATTATTTTTCATATTTTTGCCCAAAATAGGGTGGTGTAAGCATTATTGAGTGCTATAAACACATGTAATGGATGTTTCATTGATACTGGAAGTTGAAGGGCGCCCTTGTGCAAAAAGTCCAAATATGGCTCACAGAAGTAATAAAACTTCCAGGAAATTCCTAATATGGACAAAGGCATCCAGCTATCACTGTAGGTAGCTGAATAAAAAAAAATTAGAAACGCTTTGACTTCTTAAACATGAAGACAGTAAACATGGTTTATTTGTGTTCAAGTCATATCAGGTATTTTCATAAGAATAAAGTATAATTATAATGCAGTGCTAATCGACTTAGCAATGATTACAGTATAGAATACTACAAAGTAATATATTGTCTGCTTCATTCTGTGATAAGAAGCCACTTCAGATCCCAAATGGAAGTTATTTCAAACACTTGACTGACGTTATGAAGTGAGTTTGGAGTAAAAACGTAATGTTTGGCGCATTTTGCTTTTCAAATGCACATTATAAGTGACTCGAACTCAGCATTTGCAGAGATAGAGCAGCATTTACTGAACCGATCGAGCCGCTCTGATCGCAGTGTTACATATATTTAATTAAAAATCACAACCTTTTTGATTTCATAATCGCACTAAGCAAAATCGCGATTTCGGTTTTATTTCAATTAATCATGCAGCCATAGTTTTAACTGTTTTTAATCAAATAGATGCAGCCTTGGTGAGCGTAAGAGACTTTCAAAAATACTTCTTTCAATATACAGCATATTATATTGATATATATTAATATAATGAATTATTATATTATGCAAAAATGTATTTGAATATATAGGATGTCTGTGTGTTGACTTTCAGGAGCAATAAAGCAGCTGTGGGTAACTCTGTGACCACCATCCTTCATAACAACCACTCAGAGAAACCCCTCACTCCCAAGAGCTCCAATCAGAAACCCTCCTTCAAGTAGGTTCATTATGACCGTTAAATGATTGCACTGCTCTGTGAACTAATCTTAGACGTAAGGCTCTATTTCTGCTAGAGTATGCTGTTTCCAGGCTTACACATTTACAGTTTTCTCCCTCTTTCCTGTTTTAACAGTAACATAATCAAAGCCACCGTAAATGATGATTCGACTCTGGATGCGAGTGGTTCTCTTACTAAGTCTCAGAAGAATTTCTCTTCTGCGTCATCGAGCTCCAACAACAACGCCCCCCGTAGTCCCCGAAGCCCAGGTCAGCCACGCAGGCGAGAGGTGACCGAGGAGGAGGCCGAAAGGTCAGCAGTGTTTTCCAGCCCTCATATGTTTCCACTTGAGTTGTTTTTTTACGTAATCATCTTCGTGCAAATGTTTGATTGGCCTTTAGACATTTCAGACTTTTCAAAAATGGCCTTTCTTTGTACATGGTTAAACACATTTAAAAAAAATTACAGGTATATTCAGCAGGTGAACCATGCTGCTATTATCATCCAGCGTTGGTATCGTCGCCATGCCAACAGAAAGCGAGCCAATGAGAATACAATCAAACACCTCCTCACATCTAAAAAAAAGGTAATGTATTTCACCCAAGAAGGTCTATAATACCTTGAATTATATTATATTATATATTTTTTGAGCCATCGGGTGTTTTTGACCTAAACTGCCCATGACGTGAGAACAGTTAGCTATTTAGGTTTGTACGTTAGCATGGACTCACTAACTTTAATTGTAACTTAATGAGAGTATGAGAACCAGAAAATTAATGTTTTTGTCTTCATTGGGATTGGGGTTGAATCCTTAGGGAACCAGGTTACTGCGCTCACATTATTGATATTATAGATAAACCGGGCTTCAGTCGTATTGTGCTGATAATTGGTCCGTTCGCGCGAATCTTATCACACTTTTGAAACGCACTGGTAAACGCGCGCACAGTACGATGATTCAATACATGAATACCCATGCCCATCCCCTCAGGATACCTGGAATCAGTGTTACAAGTACCCCAGGCACATCATTTTACCATTTTTTGTAACATAAACACCATAACACCTATGAGAGCTTCGGATCTTCCAATATTTCTCTATGGCGCTGAAACCTAAAGATGTCCGAGTTCCGGTCCCCGTGCAATTGATACTCAACTGCCATTGGCTCATCTGCATTCGAGGGGAGGGGCTTACCGATTAATAGGTCAATTGCTCCACGGGCATCGCAGCAAAAAATGTGTGTTCACGGTGTGTGTGTGAACTTGTATGGGTGAAATGTATGGGACACCATACTTGGCTACACATCACTTTCACTTTGATGGTATCTAGCCTATTTCAAAGGTATCACTCCATTCTTGTGGGTAATTTTGTGTATTTTCCCTAGGAGAGGGAGCAGAGAGCAGAGGAGGAAAAAACCACTGAGTCATTGAAGAAGAAAGAAGATGATCGAAAACGCATCAGGGAGGAGAAGGCTCGCCTGGCTCGGCATACCGCCATACAGGTAGAGTCTAGTTTGCAATGCTATTGTAGTTTGTTTTGGCTAAGTCAGTGATTATTGTTACGACGTATTGCATCATTTGTGCATCTAAACAGGAGCTTCAGCAGAAAAGAGCCCAACGTGCTGCAGAGGTACAACAGATCGCAGAGGAGGAGGTAGAGGCACTAAGACATGCTGGGAAAGTGGGCCGTAAAAAACTCACCAAGAGTTCACCCACTTCTCCCACTGATGTCAAGGCTATGAACACAGGTGTGTAATACTCTTGGTCTCCGATCAAACTCAATTTCCTCTACCTTATTCTGTCCTTTTATACTTTGTGGGTGAATTTCATGAACAAAATATTGAGGTCACACAAGTCATGGCATTTCTTTTTTAGATTCTAATGTAAATGTGGTGCCTGATCTGGATGATGTGACGAATTTGAGGGCCGCGTCACCTGTTGGTTCTGTGTGCCGAGGATCTCAGTGTTCACAGGTAACCACTTACAACAAACTGGGCCTATTTTCACCAGCTGTGAAAAAAAAATTAAAGCTTTTGCTCATCACATTGCTTCATGCCCTAAGGAGATCCTCCGGAGGTCTGTGAGCATGGAGGACCAGCGGCAGGGTGCGCCATCGAGCAGGACGCAGTCAAAAACCACTCTGAATGACCTGCTAGACACACTGAAGCTCTTAGAAGAGGAGCCACAGAGACTGTCAGAGCCCAAGAGCTACAGGAAGGACAAGTATGCGTGGATTGACAAGGTGAATTGACACTTTCCTATCTTCAGTTCTGTATACACTTCAAAAGTTCAAAAGTGTTCAAAAGTTTGGGGGTGGTAAGTAGGGATGGGGCCGATCCGATCCAGTATCGGTATCGGGACCGATACCAGCGTAATTCACGTATCGGATTTTCCCGATCCAACCTGCGGAGATATCCGATATCCATGAGCCATGTCTGCGCTTTAACGTAGTCTGCTGAAACGACTCCAAAAGTGATTCCCGCGGCCCGCCGGCTAGTCTGCTAGCTGGCTGCAAACTGTGGAATGGATATCCTGAACGGAGGTGCGGCTCAATGAGACACAGAGACCCCCCCTCAGGAAATCCATTCCGCAGTTTGCAGCCAGCTAACAGGATAGCATTGAGCTGCCAACATGTTCGCTGTGTGGAAATCCTATGGTGGAAATACTTCACACTGGAAACACCACAGCAGAGCAAGACAGCAAAATGCAATGTTTGCAAAGCCGTATTAATTAAACCATTTGTCTGTGATGCATGTTTGCTATTCGCAGTCCAGAAGAGAAAGAGAGAGATCTCTCACGCGGTGCCACAGCGCGCACAACACGACAGCCCATCAGCATGATCGGTGATTGTTGTAAAATGCAGTCTCTACTGTTGCTAAATTGCGGGACGCTTTTAATAATAAAAAAAGCTATTAAAAGCACAAAAATCTGCGCAAGAGAAGCTGTTCCCGCGTCGCGCGCTCCGAAACAGACCGCAACGAGACAAGCACATTATACTTTGGGCTTCATATGCACGTCTAAACGATCAAATGTAGCCTACACAAAAATGTCAAAATGACCGGCTCGGAGATTCACTTAAAAGAAAGTTTGTCTAAAATGGACGTAGTTATGGAAATAGTTGGGAGAAAATATGGTGCACTCGTTCTTAAAGGGGAAGCAGTCTAATAAACATGCTGACGATTGCTCCATTAGTGAGAATCAAACAACAAAAGGCAAAGAGAAAATCACTCACAGCTCTTGAATGAATAACTTTAGCTTTAATAAGCATAAATCTATCTATTATAAACTTTGCAGTGCTATTTTACTTTTGATTACTTTATTATAATTATTTTTAGATCATACCTGAATAATGTTAGTAGACCTTCCTGAAATTAAAGCACTGTGTAGGCCTGTATAATGTGTATCTTTGTTTAATTGTCTATCTTTTGTTTATCTATTGTTTAATATATATATATATATATATATATATATATTGACATACATGCATACATACGTACATATCATACTTGCCTGTAGAGAGGAGTTTATTTCAGCATCATATAAAATCAACAATAATGATAATAATAATAATATTAAAGCAAACACAGCTCTGGTATCGGAAAAGTATCGGTATCGGCCGATATCCAAATTCAGGTATCGGGATCGGATCGGAAGTGAAAAAATGTGGATCAGTGCATCCCTAGTGGTAAGGTTTATCTTTAATGTTTTTGAAGGAAGTTTCTTATGCTCACTAATGCTGCATTTGTTTGATCAAAAATACAGTAAAACTGTATTGTGAAATATTACGTTTTTCTATTTTAATATATATTGAAATATAACTCATTCCTTTGATGGCAAAGCTGAATTTTCAGCATCATTTACTCCAGTCTTCAGTGTCATATGATGCTGATTTGCTGCTAAAAAACATGTATTATTATTCTTAATAATGTTGTTGATACAGTTGGGCTGCTTAATATTTTTGTAGAAACTTTGATACATTTTTTTAGGATTCTTTGATGAATAGAAAGTTCTAAAGAACAGCATTTATTGAAATAAAAATCTTTTGTAAAATTATTAATGTATTTACTGTTACTATCTACTGTCTCACCCTCAGGCCATCCTAAGTGTATATGACATTCTTCTTTCAGACGAATACAATCAGTTCTATTAAAAAATATCTTGGCTCTTCCAAGTTTTATAATGGCAGTGGATTGCAACCAACAGATTGAAGCTCAAAAACGTGCATCCGTCCATCCATCGTAAATGAACGCCAAATGGCTCCAGGGGGTTAATAAAGGCCTTCTGAAGCAAAATGATGAGTTTGTGTAAGACAAATATTAATATTTAAAACTTAATAAAGTAAAATAACTAACTTCCAGCCAAACGAACATATGGATTCCACCTAAGTGTAAAGCGCAACTTATGCGAGTAATGCGACGTACTGCTGATATTTACGCTATATGCCATGAAACACTACGCTACTTCTGACGTCATAAATTTCTAAAGTTGCGCATTACGGGCAAGTAGACTGCGTTTGGCCGGAAGCTAGAATTTGACTTTGTAAGGTGTTAAATATGATTATTTTTCTTACACAAACTCATCATTTTGCTTCAGAAGGCCTTTATTAACCCACAGGAGCCGTTTGGAGTTAATTTACGATGGATGGATGGATGCACGTTTTTGAGCTTCAATCTGTCGGTTGCAATCCACTGCCATTATAAAACCTCGGAAGAGCCAGGACATTTTTTAATATAACTCCGATTGTATTCGTCTGAAAGAAGAAAGTCATATACACCTAGGATGGCTTGAGGGTGAGTAAATCATGGGCTAATTTTCATTTGAAAGTGAAGTGATCCTTGCTAAATAAAATTGTATTTCTTTAAAACAAAAATCTAATTGACCACAAACTTTTGAACCGCAGTGTAAATGACCTTTTTATGATTGGCTAATCTACACATATATTTTCTTCTTAGGATGGAGACTCCAACTCCCTGACGACTGATAACGTGGAACGGCACAGGCAGCTGAGTCAGACTCCAGTCCTTCCAGATGGGGGCGCTCTGCTTTCAGAAGCTAAACTGCAGAGCATTATGAGCTTCCTGGATGAGATGGAGAAGTCAGAGCAGGAGAGACCACGCTCGGTCACCTCTGGATCACATAGAGAGGTAAACATTTGAACTGACTATATGAAGTTAGGTTTTATGTTATATCAGCACTGAATTTTTCATTTGTGTGTGTGTGTTTAGGTGGTGTTGTCAGAGGAAGATCTAGCAGTTGTGGAACAAGCCTCGGCCACAGCTGCTGAGGTCACCGGCTCTATGATGAGACTCAAACTGGAGCTGGATGAGAAAAAACGCACCGTCAATATGCTACAAACAGCGCTGGTAAAACAAACACACACATATATGCATATATTATCATCTGTAGGTTTTAGAATACTCTGCACAACCTCAGATGACTTTTACCTGTGTTTACGTGAAATATCCATGTGAAATATCTGTGAATAGTGCTGCCTGAGACTAATTTGTAAATATGAATGTGTGTCTTTAGGCCCAGCAGAGGGAGCTGACGATCCGGCATGTGAAGGAGACAGAGAAAGAGCTCAATCATACGTTGCAGTTACAGAAACAGCAGTATGAAGCTACGATACAGAGACACCTGACGTTTATAGACCAGGTATTAATCTTAAACGCAAGACAATATCTGTTCAGCAACTTTCATCTATAATCCCAAATTCCCTAATTTAATCATTGTATTACAGTAATAAAAATCATCATTGAGAATAGTGGTAATTACAAAAACAAACATAGTAGAAGCAGGGTTCTGGAGGAAACAGATGCTTAGTTGTCATGAACATAATGTCATAATTAAAAAAAACATAGGCTATTAACATAGGCTTAAAATAGTCTTAAAATAGGGTGGATGTACACAATACATTTTTGCATAAAGAAATGTAAGTTTTATTAATGAAAAATATGTACAAATATTAATGGAATATAAAAAATGGTAAATTATATGCAATTGCAAAATGTATAAATGTTTATACGGGTCTTTAAAAAAAGAAAGAAAAAAGAAATTAATACTTTTATACAACAAGAATGCATTAAATTGATCAGAAATGATAGTAAAGTCACAAAAGATCAGAGCTATTCATCAAAGAATCCTGAAAAAAATCGACCAGTTTCCAAAAAATATTAAGCAGCACAACCGATCCACATTGATAATAATAAGAAATGTTTCTTAAACAGCAAATCAGCATGATTGATCGTTACAATGATTTCTGAAGGATCATGTGACAGTAATGCTATAGCAAAAATGACTTTGTCATCACAGGAATAAATTACCTTTTAAAATATATTAAAATAGTTTTTAGTTGATTTTAAATTGTAATCATATTTCTGTTTTATAAAATATCACTGTTTTAGTTATTTTTCAAATAAAATCAATCAACGTGAAATATTGTGACATTCTAGTCTTACTGCTAGATGAGGTTGTGCTTGTATTAATGTGTCTCTCTCTCTCTTTCTCTCAGCTGATTGATGATAAAAAGGCCCTAAGTGAAAAGTGTGAGGAAGTAGTTGGAGAACTCAAGCAGGTGGACCAGAAATACACTAAGAAGATCGCTCAGATGCAGGAGCAACATGAGCTGGTGAGTTGAGTTTTAATGAAGTGGTGCAGTGATCCTATCAAGACCTGCTGCAGAGGAGGTGCCTCAGGGTCTGAGCAGTTTTTGCATCAGCTTTGGCCACAAGGGGGCGATCGACCTTTAAATGTCCGTTTAAGTGTATTGTAGATCTTGTAGTGCCTCAGTCTCAAACGTGTGCTGATTTCTACAGTTCTTATATTAACTGTGGTTTGTGGTTTTCTCTGCTGCTGTCATTAGCTGTGTTTCTGCACACAATCTTGAGTATGTTTGTATTAACTTGTGCACACCATCAAATGCATGTTCGTTTGCTGTGTTGCTTTTGCCACTGCTAACTGTTTCTCTTTCTGCATTTGTTGTGCGTTTCTCTCTTTATCTGTCCTTCCGTCTGCCTGTAGGTGTGGCAAATTCTGGGTCCCATGTGTGAGGTAACTCTTGTTTTTCTCTCTAACCCCTCATCACTCCATTGCTCTGTCATTTCCATTCTTTTATTCCTTTCCCAACGCTGACTTACAGAGACAGCTTCATTTTGCTTGAGGCCATTAACCTTGCAATCTTTTTTTAAACTTCAAGGAACCGGCAGATCTTGTAAGGCAGCAATCATACAGTGTTTATTTTCAGTTTTAGGCTTTCAGTTTAATTTCGTATAAAAGAAACGCTAAATTCGAGCTGCTTTGCCATTGTCATATTCCTCTGCAATGTGTCTTGTTTTCAGTCTGTAATAAACACATCACTGTGAAGTGCAAGTGGCTGCATATAAATGGTTAAATATTTGCAGAATAAGATGAGTTTCGATTCAGTATGCAAATTTGGTGTGTGATACCATCAGTGTATTTGGGAGTTTCCGTTGCTTTGGCACTTGTTATATTGATCTGTCATGCATTCACAAACAAAATACAGAAATAGTCAAACAGAAAAAAAAGATAAAATAAATATGTAAAGATGTAATGTCGACTGCACATTTAATGTAATCAATGTTTTACAGAAGTGTAATACTTTTATTTTCATGTTCCATTCATTCATTAGTCATCAGTCTGTTCCATTGGTTGCTCTAGTGAATCCCCAACAACATGGAAAGATGCACAGAAAAAATTATAACATAATAAAAACTGTAACATGAGTGGCCTGTTGTATAAACACAACCATCATGTGAAGACTGTGTCTTAAGAACTAATCTAATTCAAATTAGGCCAATGTAAAGGACTTTATGAAGTTATGACTAGTCTTAAAGAGAAAAATTTGTTTATTTACATTTACGACTGGTTTAAGCGGTGTATGCAACCAGCCAATGGTTGATGTATAAACCTATTCAGTGACTTCAGTTGTTTAGTTTCTTTTTAAAGGTGCTATATGTATTTTTTAGCGGCCTCTATCGGTGATGTTTCAGATTGCAACCAATTTTTACAAGAGCGCTCGTGCTCGTACACAAGAGCGAGCACTCATGGTTCCGGCCACACTGAGACTTTCAACACACCGGAGAAAGCATCACACAACATGCTGGAAACTCATGTAAACTCCCACTGCAACGTTACAATAATAGGCTACTTTTATCAGCTTGACGTTGAACTAATGCCTCATGCTCGTACCATGATAACGTTACATTCGTGGTGTTATCTAGCATAAGGCATTTCACTAACTATTCGTGTATCTTTCACAATCAGCAATTTCAACATAGGTGAATGTATAATATGATAACGAAAACGGTTACTGAACTAGACTGAACAATTTCAGTGTAACAGTAAGATCGTAGGAAGTAACATTAGGCTAATGTACTGAACGTGTCTGGAAATGTGTATTATAAACAATATGATGGGATGAGTGACGTTAGACAGTAGATCTAGTACATAAAATAAAAGTTACATCCTAAAGCACCTACTTTTTGTTATCCTGGAACAGTCTTTTTTTATTTCATGTCTCATATTGTTGTAGTTTACCTTGCTATTTCATTACAGTTTACCATTATTTCAGCATATCTGAAAACTTGCAATTTATCACAATAAAAATAGCGGAGGTCTCTCCATAATTCAAACGCTCTGCCGATGTTGATCTGTGTTTTCGTCCTAAGTCGATCCGATTCACGTTTGGCCTGACGAGCTTCAGCAGATACATTTTTGTTTTGTTTTTTATATTTATGTGGAGTTTGTGTTGGAGTCTGTGTTGTGCTGGAGGCAGGTCGTTTTTGGGTGTTATCAGACTCCATGTCGTTAGCTGCAGTGCCGTCGCATAGACTGTATATAAAAAGTAGAGAGGCTCGGGAGCGCGCATGCCAGAGTTTCCGCTAGAAAAAAATGGTGCCGGTCAAAATGACCGGCAGAGTTTTTGTTTTACGGACATTTTGATGATTTGCCGGTCAAATATCGCCCCTTAATTAGTCAAGTTGAGGAAAACTGGAGGCAGGCTATGTAACCTAAAAAATGACTTCACATATCGCGTCTTTTGCGCGCTCAAGTTTGTTATGCTGCGTGCAGTATGCGCGCTCATAATGGAAGTGCGACGCGCTCATTTTTTCCAAGCGCGTCCGCGCCGCATCGAGATAAAAACATCTCGGTGTGGACTGAGGTAGGGCTGTTATTTTTATTTAACGAAAAATCTTAGTCTAACGGGAAAAATAATATATTTAGTTTTGGCCAATTTTGTGTTTTTTATTTGTACTATTTTATCCTGTTTTTCTCTGTTCTCACTGTTAGAAATGCTGCAGGTGCGTGAAAATTTGATCTGAATCCAGGTTCTGTTGTTGATCTGTTCTGTATGCTGCTGTTTGCACTTTGCACGTTAAAATAAACCCTTTGATAAAAAAATTAAAAAAAATGTTTGTAGTTTTAACGGGTCACAGATAGGCAATTTATTCTTATTTAATGCCAATTCAATATTATAATTATTAATTAATAATTATAATATTATATATGGTTAATAATCGATTAACGAGCGGCGGTTGTCGGTCGGGAAAATTAACCGAAATGAGCATCCGAACTGGATACATTTCATTGAAATCACATATGAAGACCTCCCTTCGCGGGCTGTGGAGTGCAATGCTCCATAGCCACGGAGCGCTGTCATGACAGTGAGCGCATCACGTCGCAGGCTTACGGCATCGATAAGGACCGGTGTCTGCAGACTCAATGCTTGTAAAATGGCAAATAATCCTTCTGATCGGTCGGTGTATTTTTGCTTTATACATTTTAGGCTTATTCTCAAATTCCGATTGTGTTAAGGGGGTGGGATTATTAGGCCATTTTAATCGGACAATTTGACCGGAGAGATTTAATTTTGTCGGACATTTCATTTTTTTCCCGGCCAAAGTCTGGTAATTACCAGACAATGGAAACCCTGGCGCATGCACGTCACATCCGATGGATTTCGCAGAAAATCCGACCCGGAGACTTCACTTAGAAATAGGAATACTGGCCTTCAGAGGTAATAGCAAAACCCGACAAGTGGATCATTGTAATATGTGATTACAACCCCTTCACACACAGGCAATAAAAAAAGGATTCATTTTAGAAGAAAAGTTACATATAGCACCTTTAAATGCAGTAGTAAATGAGTACATCCCCATAGTTATGATTTTAGTTCTCATCCAATAAATGAGTATTCTGTGTTATCAATTACTCACTGTCATGTAGTTCCAAACTTGTATGAGTTTCTTATTTTCCCCATGGACCACTAAAAGAAGAAATTATGAATAATGTGCTGGTCACTCTCATTAATGCAGTTACAGTGAATATGGAATGGAGCTTTTAAAAAGACAAAAGCATTATAAAAGTGATCCATATGGCAATATTTCAAGACTTCTGAAGTCATACGATAGCTTTGGGTGAGAAAACGAAACATTTTAAAGTTGTAATACACTGAAATCTTCAAACATTGGCTATGGTCACCTTGGCACACCAATGAGAGAAGTGATGTCTGATTCATGAGCTAATTATTCTTTGTGGATCTTTTTATTGACTCAATTGATCCAGTTCACAAAGAACATTTAAACAATTTGTTAACCAATCAGTCATCACTACTTCTCTCGTGAACTTTTATAAATGCAGGGCTAAAGTGAATGTTAGGATGTTCTGTGTATGACAATATATATTTAGATCTACACTACTGTTCAAAAATTTGGGGTCAGTAAGAAAAAAAATGACAGGCTTTGGTGTTATTTGATTGAAAATGAATGCCTCAAAGCCCATCTTTTTGCGCTGCCTGCAGATTATCGTAGTTATCGTAATAGTTATCGGCGGGAGTTAATCACTCAGCGTCGTGTAATTAATGCACCGTGTCAAGTTAAAATGGTTATTTTAAAAGAGCCTGTCTCAAGATGTAGCAGTCTTTCCCATTCATTTGCGCTCTTTCTGGTGCTGGTGATGTTTTCTCTTTCTGTTTAACCAATCCTTCTATCCCTCTCTTCCTCCACACAGGAGATTAAGAAGCTAAAAGAGTTAATGAGTGCCACAGAAAAGATCCGCCGGGAGAAATGGATCGATGAGAAGACCAAAAAGATCAAGGAGATCACGGTGAAAGGTCAGCAGAGTTCGACAACAAGTGTCTGTCTGTACCAGTGCCACATCACCAGATGCTTCAACAGTATCCATTTCAGCCCAGTCTGCATGTTTCTGCCAAAATGCGTCACATTTTTATGATCTGTCTCTGTGCCCTAAAGACAAAAGTAAAATCGCTGATCTATGACACACCTGTGAAATTTATTCACATTATATAATCCTTTGTTAAATTGTGTAACCTGGATTAAAGACAGAGCAAACTGGTTTTTAACTGGTCAAACTGCATATCACTCATCTGACACCCGTTTTGATTTTAATATATTCAGTATGTTTGTGTATATATATATATATATATATATATATTAGGGCTGTCAAATGATTAATCACGATTAATCACATCCAAAATAAAAGGTTTTTTTTACATAATATATGTGGGTGCACTGTGTATAATTATTTTGTATATATATAAATACACACACATGCATGTATATTTAAGAAAAAAATATTATTTATATACAAAATATTTATATTTATATATAATATAAATTATATATAAATCTATATACAGTATATACATGAAAATATTTCTTAAATATATACAAGCATGTGTGTGTATTTATATATATAAAATAATTATACACAGTGCACCCACATATATTATATAAAAAAACTTTTATTTTGGATGTGATTAATCACGATTAATCATTTGACAGCCCTAATATATATATATATATATATATATACACACACACACACACACACACACACACACACTGAATATATTACCTTTCCGCAAGTTGAGTACGTTGAGTTAAACTTTTAACTGAAAAATAATGTGACACCATAAAGCCCAGATTTTTAATGAAGGCTTTTGAATCGCATTGTAATTCAAACATTGCATCAGCAAATAGTGTGATGTTTTATTATTTTTCTCCTTTAAATTCTGTTGGAAATCCCATGATTATTTTAATGCTATACTGCAAATATTTATGTTAGTTCTTTATAATGTTTGAAAACTGTTTCTTCCAGGTCTGGAGCCAGAGATTCAGAAGCTGATCTCCAAACACAAGCAGGAGCTGAAGAAACTGAGAGTTCTTCACGAGGCAGAGCTGCTTCAGGCAGACGAGAGGGCCGCTCAGCGCTACGTCAGGCAGAGCGAGGAGTTACGACAGCATTTGGAGAGAGAAAGAGATGAACAGTGCCAGAGAGAGAGAGAACTGGCTAAGCAAAGGTACACACACTCACATGTGTCCATTGCACATCTGTTCATCAGAGATCAAACCAGTGACAGGGATGGGCAGCCAAGACGATGTGTTCAGAGATGTTAGAAAACACAAACACACTCAAACTGGCCTGGAAAGTGCGACAGAGGAAACTGGCTAGACATGATCTCAAAGCTATTTAGCTTTTGAACACACACACACGCACACTTAGTTATAAGAATTAAGAATATAGAGTCTGCTGTTTTTATATAAAGCTAATTATTTCAGACTAACCCTGCTGTTCTTTGAAATTGTAGTTTTCTTTCCTGTGTTTATGTATTTCCTGTTAAAACAGGATGTTGAAGTAGGACATATCAAAGGCCTTATCTCTTTTTTTTTAATTACCAATACTGTGAACCATGATTTCCTACAAAGATCATTTTATTTCACACACAAACTTCTATCAGACACTCCTCATGCAGCTTTTTCTCTACAATAAACAGTAAATAATTACCACATCTGTCAAGCTCCTTAAAAGACATATAAATACAATAAAAGCACCATGGCCCATATGATGCTGAAGCCAAATGATAGCTTTATGGGAAGATCAGACTGAAATACAGTTTTGGATAGCGTTCAAAAGTTTGGTGTTGGTAAGATCACCAAGGCTGCATTTATTTTATTAAAAATATATACACGATATATACATACTTACAATTAGATTATATTACATTTTTAAAATACTTAGAATCAGATTAAAGTTACTTTTTATTGATTACATGGGTAACACTTTACTTGAAGGGGTGTGCATAAGACTGACATGACACCTTCATAACCATGACATGACATATGTCATGAATATGAAGTAGGGTTTATGCATGTTTATGACAACTGTCATTAAGTGTCTTTCGCTCAATAATGACATTTTGAATGCAAATATGACATTGTTTAAGATGTCTTTGTTATGACACCTTGACATAAACCATAACATCATAACCTGTCAGTGTCTTTGTCATGACAACTTGACATTAAATTAAGTTAAACTGTCAGGTGGTTGGTTTTGACATTGGCTGTCATGAGGCCATTATAACTGTGTCATGAATATTTTTCATGACCTCAACTACAGTGGTACAAATTGAATTTGTCATTAAACAGTTATAATGGCTTCATGACAGCCAATGTCAAAACCAACCACCTGACAGTTTAATGTAATGTTAACCAATAAAGCTAAGTGGTTTCTTAAGTTTGATAATTAATCTGCTATGTCATGTTTATGACAGGTTGTGTTGTCTTAGTAATGTCAAGTTGTCATGACAAAGACACTGACAGGTTATGATGTATTGGTTTATGTCAAGGTGTCATAACAAAGACATCTCAAACAATGTCATATTTGCATTAAAAATGTCATAATTGAGCGAATGACACTTAATGACAGTTGTCACAAACATGCATAAAACTTCCTTCATATTCATAACATGTGTCATGTCATGATTATGAAGGTGTCATGTTAGTCTTATGCACACCCCTTCAAGTAAAGTGTTACCATTACGTGATTACATGTTATTCTCACAATGGCAGTAAATTCATCCCTCAGATTCTTGTATATACGTAAAACAAAGATGAAGTCTTAATTTCACATGCATTGAATTATGAGAACACAATTAAGTAAATGAATGTGTGTTTGTGTCTCAGGTTTGAGAAACAGCTGCAGGAAGAGGAGAACGCGCTGCAGCAGCAGAGGAGGCGCCTGTATAAGGAAGTGTCAGAGGAGAAAGAGCGAATCACACAGCTGGCAGCCAGGTCAGGTTTAAAGGATGTTTAAGATCACATGACCAGGACCATGTTTATCTGACTGAACCATTGGGTGCCAAATGTTGCTAGCTAGGAATTGTCATAAATAATTACACTAAGAAACTTCAATACTTTTCCTTGTTGGGATGGTTGATTTTTGTTAAAGTAAAAATATCAACAGAATGCATCTTGAGTCTTAATCTAAAATATTTTTCCGATTAATGCTTAAAACAAGAAAAAATCCAATGGAGTAAGAACTATAAGATATATTACATAAAACAAAATAAAATTATATTACATAAAACAAAATTATTTTGCTTCTCAAGTAACTCAAGATTTTTTTTAGATATATTTTTTTGTAGAAAAATACTGATTTGTAAATATTTAACACTTTACTTAAAACCTTTATATATAATGCATTCTAAAAGTATTTTTAATGCATTAATGATGCCTCATGTTGCATTGTATGGTCTTATGAATAATTGTAACCACAGTTATAATGCATTATAATACTTATCTATTCACTGAACACACCGTTATAAAGTGTAAAGCATTAAAACACATGGCAAACAACAAATTTCAGATGGAACAAGGGATCTGCAAATAATATAATGCATTTTAACTTTGGTTACAATTATTTATGAAAAGATATAATGTATATTATGAATACCTTTTATAATGCATTATAAATAAAGGCTTTAAGTAAAGTGTTACCATATTTTTTTTTCCAAAAGAGAGGGACGAGATGAAACATTCAAGTTAAGTTAAAACTAAATGTGAATGTGTTTGTGTGTGATGTAGGCAGCATGCTGAGCTGGAAGACTTAAGGAAGCAGTTGGAAGACAACAGCTCATTGGCAGGAAGAGCGTTAAGAGAAGAACTGGAGAAGAGCAGAGATGAGCAGGAGAGACGTCACCAGGTAACACTCACATCTAGTCATGTTAGTCCACACAAACTGTTATGTATTCAAGTAAAGCATTCTTCCATCATTTGACTCTGCCTCTTCTTTGGAGATGTTTAGCAATCAGAAATTGTAACATCAGATGCTGCAACAAGCCTATATGGGCCCAATTTCTGATTGCTTTGGTTACAGTGCTGTGTGTATAACTGATACTTTCTTGTGAGTAGTACCAACAAAAATGTAAGAACAATGAACAACAAAAGGAAGCCAGCAGTAAATGCAACTTTCAGTATTATTGAATTGATACCAAGTATTATTGATACAGTTTTAACATTCTCAGGAAATGTCTTTTGATTAATGATGTCATTCTGTGCAGCACTCATCTCCTGCCCTCTGCACATCATTCCTTGTCTAACCTCAGTCTGTTTTTTTTTGCCTGAGACTTTCAGACCAGAACTCAAATTACCTGTCTTGTATTTGATGGTGCATTGTTTGCAGAGGTCACAAGAAAGCACATTTTTGTAGCAATATAGAATTTTGGGTCTCATTCTTTTGGTTCTTTTAACTGTGTTTTTGTCTGTATTTTTCATTAGGTTGAAGTTAAAGCCCTGAAGGAAAGGCTTGAAATTGAGAAACAGACATGGGAAGAAAATTATATGAAAAAAGAGGTATGTGTTTATGTATGCATGTTTTGAAATGAGTTTATATATTTTATCTTGTACTATACTTATTTACATGTTTACAGAGTAAGACGGAATTGTATGCATATGTTTAGAATTTGTGCCTAAATGTACATCTACTTATTAATTTCATTTTCTCATGATTAATGTCAGGTGATCCCACATAAAGCTTGAGTGATCGATTAAGATATAGGATGGATTCTCAGTACACTGGCGGTTAACTGGGAGTTGGAAATTACATCATCATAGAGTCCACACTAATATCTTCTGCTTTCTGAGACTCTCAAATTTACACCTCACTAACACTTGTTATGATTACATTTAGTTAATTTTTATTCAACAAGAAAATACTGTGTAAGGAATTTTCTTGGCTTTGAATTTTATCATCAATGCTAATAATTTTGTAGGATTCATTTTTCACAACGTTTCAAAAATTTGGGGGCAGTATAATGTTTTTTTTAGGAAATTATAATTTTATTCAGCAAGGATGCTTTCAAATAAAGACGTTTATTGTTAGAAAATATTTCTGTTTCAAACAAATGCTGTTCTATTTTTTGTTCTGAACTTTCTATTCATCAAAGAATCCTGAAAAAAATTTATACACAAAATATTACGCGGCACAACTGTTTTCAACATTGATAATAAAAAATAATAAATGTTCCGTGATTGGCAAATCAGCATATTAGAATGATTTTTGAAAGATCATGTGACACTAAAGACTGGAGTAATGATGCATAAAATTCTTAATAAATTACATTTGAGAATATGAAATAAAACCAAAGTTATTTTAAATGGTAACAATATGAACAACAAAAAAATTCAGTAAGTGCAGACTTGGTGAGCATAAGAGACTTCTTTCAAAAACATACAAAAAATGACAGATTCCTTACAGACTCTTTAGTTTTATTGCTCTAAACCAGTCAGAATTTCATAGCAAATGCAAATGACCTGATTGGCTAACCTCTGTGTACCACTAATAGGCTATTTGGACTGGTCGGGGCTAGTAATAATCCACCTCTCCCAAAAATTAAAGGTGATAACAAAGTAGTTTGCTAAGTTTTACAACTGTAAGTGTGTGTAAGGTTACAAAGTCTCTAAGGTCTTCTCAAAACATGGTGTTTCCTCTCACAGGAAGCGTGGCTGCTGAGCCGAGAGAGGGAGCTTAAAGAGGAAGTGCGTCGAGGGAGAGACAAAGAGATTGAGCTGGCCATTCAGAGACTAGAGGAGGAGACCAGGGGGGCAAGAGAGGAGTGTGAGAGAGCGGCTGACAATAGGTGTGTTTCCACCTTCCTGTTTATGTGAACCTGTGTGTCTGTGGAGAGCTGGGTAGCACAGGATGTTACAGTTTTGCCCATATGCAATTCTACATCAGTTTATTTCCACTGGTGGTAAGACTTGGAATGTGCTACAAATTTCCCTGCTGACCTGCTATATAAACATTGTGTGTGTAATTCAAATTTGAAAAAAAATTACATTCAGCTCATATGCTGCTTTTTTTTTTCAGCAGGGTTTTGAATAAAACAATATGCTTGTGGGCCACATATTTAAGCTCTTCCTGGATAGTTTGAATTTAGGATATGAGGCCATTTACATTTAAGTTACTGAAGCCCATCCATTTAACATACTGTATATGGCCGAAGAACTGTGGTTTTTACAACCTGACTGTAAATGTGTATGGTGTGTGCAGGATAAAGCGCGTGAGGGAGAAATATGAGGCCGAGATCAGAGATCTGGAGCGTTCGGAGCGGGCTGCACTGCAGAAACAGCAAGAGATGAGAGAGAAACACAGTGAGATGGAGGCAGAGCTCCTTCGACTGCAGTCACTGTTACGACAACGAGAGCAAGAGATAAGCGACCTCACCCAGGTAACAGCCATCACGGGGACGCTTGCTTGTTGCTCCTCGCTCATTATAGTTAATTGGTGACTTATAAATCTACAGACTCCACTGTAGATTTCTTTGTAGAGATGGGAATCAAAAGGATTCCATTTTCACATAACCATTCAGGCTCCCATTCACATAACCATTCAGACAGATTTAAGGGTGCTTTCGCACTTGGTTCGATTGCCTGGTCCGAACCCGAGTTTGGCGGCAAAATGTATAGTGTTGCCCAGCACTTTAATATTTTGGTTTTTGAATGTTTGGTGCATGTACTGCACATGTTCTAAAGAACACAGGAGTCCATTTCTGCTAAAGGCGAGCAGAAATGAGATAGATTCTCTCTGCTTCACACAGTTTTATTATATGTCATCAATAGCGGTTTACTTCTACGATTTAGTATGATTGTGTTCATATCAGCAGCGAACCCTAACGGAGATCACATGAACCGTACCCCACACCAACCTTTTTATGCAGACTCTGGTATTGTTCGCGGTTACGCACCCAAGTTCGGAAAACAGCGCTTGCATCATCCAAACGAACCAAACCCTGACATCAATCGAACTCGAGAGCGCACCTAAAGTGCTAGTGTGAAAGTTTCAAATTGAGTTGGACTTTATAAAAATAATAACTTGAGTTCAGGAACTCCTCAGACGGATTCAGTGAGTCAATCAGGTAAAAAGCTAGGCTACTTGTTTCTCTAAAAGTGTGATAAACTGGATGACTTTTGACACTCTCTAGTTAATGTTACACCTGACTGTAAATGCACGTGTGTGAAACGACTGAAAATAGATGACCAATTGTGGTTAGATAAGATGTCCAGGATGATCAGAGTTTGCATATGACACACAAGGCCAGTTGCTTCACTCTTTAACTACAGCGGAGAATGTCACAGAACTGCCAAGTCATATTTGACCCCAACATTATTATAATTTCATAAAATAAATGAAGCATATTTAATATTTTTTAAACTGTTTTATTTGCATATTTATTTATTTATTTATTTTGGAATTAAATGTCTTGGAATTCTAAGCATCAGTAAGTGTTGTGTTTTGTTTAGCTGGGTTTTCGATCAACTACTGTCCTCATGCTTTGCCTCGGTCTCTTTTCATGAAATGTCTACAGGCTCGTGATAAGTTGTCAGATGAGCGCCGCAGCCTTGCAGAAGTGATCAGACAAGAGTTTGCTGAGCGGCTTGTAGAAACAGAGGAAGAGAATAGGAGGATGAAGATGGAAATATCTGAAGCCAAAGCACGACTCCGCTTAGAGGTGGAGCGAGTGAGCAGAGAGAAAGAAGAGGAGCTTGCAGAAGTCCATCAGAGGTCAGAGGCAAAGAGTATTTTTCCTTTAGTGCCTTGTCGTTGATATGATTAGCTTTAAACCTGCAGATGAAGTGTTTTACTATGTTTGAATTAAGGTTCTGGTCTCATCCACAATAAAAATGGTTCTCTCTTCCTTTAATAGAGTAAAGTCAGCTATTTTGAAGAAGGAAGAGACTGTTAATAACTTGCGGAAGCAGCATGAGGTATATCGCAACACATTTGATTCAATATATTTGCCTTGCAGTTAATGCAATGCTTGTTGTGCATACATTTTGATTCACAACTAACTTGTCTTTTTCTGTGTCTTTTAGGCTGCGGTGAAGAGAGCAGATCATCTTGAGTCTTTGTTGGAACAGCAGAGAAAACAACTGTTAGGGAAATGATTGACAAGTTAGGGCATTGACCCCTCCCACCACCATAACCCGTCCCTTCTGTTATACCGTCCTCCTCTCTTTATTTGTTTTTTATTTTTTTTGTTTTATTTATTTTGCTTGTTTGGATGAACTGATGGATTCTAGGTGGACATTTTGGTTCCACCAGATTTCTCATCCAGAAAGGCGGCCTTTGGCATTCCCATGGGAACAATGCAAGAAATAAGAGGAATTTAATCTTCTCCGAGATTCCAGGAGAGGCTATTGTGGGTCTCTCTTGCACGGATATGACCAAATTACAGATTCCTTTTAGCCACTGGTTTCTCACAGCCAGACAAATGAACTCAACATTTTCTCACTAGAGTTTAGATCTATTATGTTGTTGTTGAATCTTACAAAACCTCTTCTCATAAACTCATGCATATTTCACCTCAGAATCAAAATATATAAATGACAAATTTCTTTATTTTCATAAGAAAATTAGGCTCATTAAGCAAAAAAAAAAAAAAAAAAAATGTTTCAAAACATTAATATATTATTTAAGTTGTAAAGTATTTATACAACATGATATTTTTATAACTTTAATTTATGCTTGTATTATAGTGATTTTATAATAATATAGTAAAAATGGAAATCTGATGAGAATCACAATCAAGATTAATGGGAATTGCAAAACCCTAAAAAAAAGTAAAACAATACTGACGGTTCACATTGTGGCAAAAATTGTCATTGCAAAATGGTCCTAAAAAGAAGCTTTTCTAGCATTTATTATTTTGATTTGAGGGTAAAATCTGTATGCATTTGTGAGATTACCCAAGAAGTGGAAAAGCCCCTTTTGCTGGGCACAGAGGCATTCACAGTAAACTGTTCCAGATGTTTCTGTAACTTCATACCCTCTTCCCGTCTCTCTCCAGCGCTGGAATGGGTGGAGATTACAGTGGACAGGAGAAGTGGGAAGAGCAAAGGCTTTGATATTGAGCAGAGAAGTTAACTCTTCACATTAAAGAGGAGAGGCCTACCCCCAACCCCACTCCCCTGCCTTTTGTGTGTTGCATACAGATGCCTCTTGTCCCGATCCCCCTCAAGGCTATCTCTAAATTACAGGAGATTTCCCAGAAGCCCCCAGGACACCCAAACATGCTCGCACAGAGCCCTCAGTGAAGCCCAGTTCTGGTTCGGATGTCAGTGAATGATGGCAGCACAGCTAGGCGATAGAGATTTCCGAAGGTTTGTTGACAGTAATGCAGTAAGTGGAGAAGATAAGTATGGAGTGTCTCTTTAGATTGATAGGGACTGACAGTAGATTTAGCGTCTCTCACGGAACGTATATGTGCAGTCATTTTGCACATACTGAAGTGAGAGACCTAGATGAGATTGAGTTGAGATGGATGTAGAAAGTTGGGTAGATAAAAATATCAGGTGGATAGAAAATTAAGAGTATAATTTGGGACAGCAGAGCTGGGTTCGACAGAACGTCATGGGACATGATGACTGTGGTTTGCCAAGAAGGATGTTCCTGAATCAACATACAGGGTTCCCACAGTCGTGGAAATCCAGGAAATGATTTTGTTTTTCTGATTGATTTGTTGTTGTTGTTCTTCCACTAATGTAATGTAATGTTGATCCTGGAACACTTCTCTCTTGGTGAAATTACTTTGAGCCGGGGGAGACAGCATGCCTGTTGTTCATTCTGTGGTTTCAAGCACAACTAAATGCCAATCCTCCAATCACTTTCTCTCTCTGCAATGTATATCAAGCGGGTTCATACCAAGAGAGGAACAGAGATGAATGCAATTCAGCAGGAGTTGAGCTAGCAGGTTGGGGGGTGGTGCTTCAAAACTACCACAAGTCTCCATTGTTTCTTTCTACAAGGTCCCTTCCTTTTGGTTTTATTAGAAGCTTCTTATCTAAAACATGTAGAGCCAATAAAAATGGCAGTCCAGAAAATCATTGAATGCTTGGCCTATTATCTTGGGAATGTTTGACTCGGATGTTTATTCCGATTGGGCAACTTTAGGTTTTGTATTCAAAAGAGAACTTCTATTTAAAAACTTCTCTTTATCTACAAAACACAACCCTTGTCAGAGAAGTTGATTTATGTAAGTTCAATTGCTTATCGAAAGTTGAACTACATGTGCGAGCCGTAACTTCCTGTCCAATGTTAGACAATGCTTTCTTGTACCATTGTTTGATGGATTTTGTATATCAGATTCTTACTGATTTGAGATCTGTTTAGTCAACGGAACCACATCGAAAAGGTCAGAGTGAAAAGTGCCTCATTCCTGTTCTCTAATGAGTGGATCAGGTGTCTCATTTGAGGACAGAGGGAATGCCAGAGTAAGCTTAAACTGCAGACCCATTGCAGAATACAGGAGGCTCTGTCATGTGGCTCAAGCGTAAACACTGAGATGTCTCTGTGGCATAATTTCATGAGTCACCTGTTGACATCACACTTAAATGTGTGTATCCAAAGTCAGTTGGATGCAATTTATTCGAACCCTAGTGTGAGGTTCAAAGCATTAAAACATTCTGAGAATGTTTCAGATGCGTTTGGTGAAGGTCAGAAGCAGATTGGCAGCAGATGCAGGTCCTTGGCTGACTTTCTGCCTTTGAATAGCAGCGTGGTTGGCATGGCCAGTGTGTGTCAGTCCCACTCATGCCAATGAACCATTCTTTTGTGTGTAGTGTTTAATAGCCAAGCGCCGGTCGCCATTTTCCTGGCCTTTTGTAACTGTGGTCTGACAAAACACTACTTTTATCTTAATGTCTGGATCATTTCACCTTCAAACTACTCTCCCTCTTTGTGTTTTTAAAATGTTTGTTTTTGCATGTCTGAGTTTTTAAATAAATTAAATGTGCCCTTTAACATGTAGCTCTTAATTTGATTCCTTTACACACATGCTGTATTTTGATCATTGAGTTTAATAGCTGGGTTTTCGTACGGTGAAGTAATGAATCTTGTCAGTATGAAAATAAATCTTGAAAAAAAGTTTTTGTTTGACTTTTTTTTTTCTCCCTCTGGCAATAGCCAACAATTACATAATCACTCCCGTTCTCCACAGTCCACTCCATGAGCATTCAGATCTGGTGCTTTTTGCTTGGTTTTCATCCCCTGCAGAAATTATCTGCTGCAGGTTCCTCTTTCAACCAGCTCTTTTCTTCACATTTAAAGCTTGTTCTGTGTGAAACTGTTGATTCTAATTGTTCCACAATGATTGGTGGAATGAACTTCCAAACTAACCTGATTTAATTGCACGTAAAAGTCCTTTTTCTACTGTTCTGCACTTCTGATAGTTGACTAAATATTAGTCATCATTTTTCTTGTCTATAATGTGCATGCAGTTTCATGACCTTATGAAAGTTCAGGAATATTTATACTTGTAAAAATTAATTTGACACACCGCATGTCAATTGCATGTCAAATGCATGTCAATTCACAAGTGAATGTGAAAAAAACAACTTTTTGGTGACCAGTTATGGGACATAAAATATGCACTTTCCTTTATATACGTTCAAAAGTTTGGAAAGTCTTTTAAGTCAGCAGTCATAGTCTTAAGTGTCACACGATTCTTCAAAAATCATTCTAATATGCTTATTCAGTGATCAAGAAAAACATTGTTGTAAACCGTTGTGCTGCTTAATATTTTTGTGATGCATTTTTTAAGGATTCTTTTGTCTGAAACTTTTGTAACATCCTAAATATCACTTTTGATCAATTTAATGCATCTTTGCTGAATAAAAGAATTTAAAAAGATCTTACTGACACCAAACTTTTGTCAAAAAAAACTTCACAGGCATTTTATCTCAACTAATCACTTTCACTTCAGCTTTAGAGCTGTACTATTCTTATGTTGTTTTCTCTCCAGTTCAAATCGTTTCAGCTTTTTCATTTGTAAGTTACTTCGTATACAAGTGTCTGCTAAATAAACCATGTAAATTTTAATCTGAGTCACATCCATTTGCAGGAAAGTCTGACCCACATTTCTTACCCGTTCATCTCTTGCTCCCTCATACGGTGTTTCCCATTTTGCACTGCATTTGTTTTCTGCAGCCTCTTGCAAACCACAAGTTGCATGCAGCCTATTTACTTCTGAATCAGTCTAATGTGACTGTTTTTGCCCCCCTGAGGGGCCTCTGTGTGAGACTGTATTGATAACTGCCTTGTATGTAAATGAGGCAGCTGTAAGTTGTGATCAAGCAGACTAGGCTCTTTGAACATGGCAACACTTCAGCATGTCACTGCATGTTGTTTTTTGGGTAGTTTTTGCACTGGTGCATGCATCTTGATGCCTGAATGCCCACGTTTGCACATTCCAGGGTCTGTCTTTGAACGTCAGCTGACTTTGTTTTGTTTGCTGTTCTCTGTGATCACCAAGCTCTGTAACCATCTCTCAATCTCTCTTCCCTTGTATTTTATGTCTTCCTTTGGGGGAGGGGGCAGGGGAGTTGACCAATTGCTAGCAGCTGTTACTCATTTCACAATCGGCCCGCCTCTCCAGCCCTGTGTGTGTGTGAGTGACTGAGTTTTATTGTTAAACACATTGCAGCTCGACTTCCCTCTCATTGCTTGACAGAAGTTTCCCTTCAGGTACGAGACTTTTTTTTTTACTTCTTTTACAGTTCTTCTTTCCTTTGTCTGTTTACATATTCTGTCAGTTTTTCTTGAGTTTAAGGGCTGCAGCGAGTCGGCTGTCTTTGAATGTAACATATGGTGACAGTGTTACAGTTACTTTGTCTGATGTAGTGGGAAAATGGTTATTTTTGTGTTTTGACAACTTTTTAAAGTTTCATTGGCTTTTTAAGCATTTTGGGAGAGATTTTATTTTCTTTTCTTTATTTAATTCTACCTTTAATGCATTTAAAGAGAAATGTATGCAGTTTCCTAAAGGAGATGGATTTTGGTTTATAATTTCATCTTTAGACATTACTCAGACTGAGACATAAGCACAGCAAGTTTCTGGAGCATTGATTCCCACAAATAGCATTCTTGTCATTCCACAAATGTCAGAAAAAGAAAAGCAGGAATTCTAAAAGAAAAACACAATGTAAGGCTTTGTGCCTCTGAATTCAGCTTTATTCTCCCATTTTTGAGAGAATTGGAGAATTAAACTTTTGTTAAACAACCCAAGTAAAACTTTTAGAGCAATTTTTCTTTCTTTTTTCAGATTTTTCACTTGTAAGATGGTAGAACCTTCAAGGTATGACAATGACTAGTTTATGAATGTTAAATAGCATAAGGTCAATACAAGTCGTATTTCCAGTTTTGCATTTAACTTTAGTGAAGAACAAATCCTGACTCTGAAAACTGGGTTTCAGATGTTTTAAAATGTTTAAATTGTTTTATGTGCTAAAAACTAAGCCTACTTGTTGCATACTTGGTCTGGGTACAAAATGATTTGTGAAGTTACGTGTTTCCAGACACATCAGCAGGAGATGTGGTCATGAGGAAATATTTCCTGAGGGAGTAATGCTGGTTTCCTAGAAAAAAAACCTGTACTCGGGGGAGAGTTGATAACAAGCAATTTTACCACAATATCTCAGGCTTTTCCTCGCCCTCTTTTATATACAACTCCGAAAACCGCCATTTTCTGTCTGTATGGTATTTTCATGCTCTCTCTTTTCATCTTTCACCCGTTCCCTCTCGTTTCTTCCTTAGTCAAATCCTGCAGTCTTTATGACACCATTAATTAGCATCTGAAATGCTCTTTGAGCAAAGGTGCACTTTGAAACTAGGATCACATCTTGCTGGTTTACCAGGCCCTTTAATTAAAACAGGATTAATAGCATAGAAACCGCCATGTGGAGTTTTACTCTATTGTATTTATTTTCTTCCTCTCACAGATATATCCTCGGTGGTGCTGGAGACTCCCACGTGTGAAAGCCGGAGCTCAAAATGAACTAATTAACAAGCAGCGAGCGACCCTTCTTAACCCTTCCCCTCGAGGAGCACTTTCAAACCCCTATTTCATCAAAACAGCAGTTCCTCAGGAGAACGCTCATGTGCTTACATGGTGACCAGACGTTCTGGGGAACTCTCAGCAACTTGTGCACGAGGAAAGTAGCACGATGATAGGCCAGGTGCCTCAGAGGCTTCTGCTGTGGTTCATTGGATTGTTGGGAATCGCGATACTGACGTTAATCGTGGTGTGCGTGGCTTTGCAGATCCAAGTGCCATGGGACGTGAAGACCCTCCGAAGCTCCACCATGAAATATTACAGGTAAAGACAGATCTCTTAAAATGCCATGTGGACTTCTTTACACTCTTAAAAATAAAGGTTGTTTTTTTGGTATCTATGGTTCCATGAAGAAACTTTTACATCTATGGAACCTTTCCATCACACAAAGGTATTAAGATGCGTCTTGGTCAATCGGATCACAACTAGACAAGGGAGACACATTCCCATTTACACCTGGTAATTTAATCCATCTCTTTTGTCCACTTTCAACCACTTCTGTCCTGATTTCATCAGTTGGGTAAAAATATGGGTAAATATATTTATATGTAGTGCTGGGCTGTAAACCGGTTTCAAATTCGAGACTGATATGTATTTTTCAAAAACCGCCATACGTTGAAACAGCTGCTGTATTTATTCAATGGCCATGAAGAGTGTATAAAGAGCGGACTTTTATTAACTGCATACCCTTCTTACACTAATGGTAACAACTTTATAACACAACAATAAATAACAAAAAAAAAATCACAAATGGAACTTCCTGTATAAAGCGGAACATCACAGAATTTGGCAAGTTTTGGATGATTAAATCAAAAGTAGGACTGTACAATAAATCAGTTATCGATACGGACTAGTGGACTAATATTAAAGCTCAAAAAGACTGCTATTGAAATCTGAAGTCTGTATGTTCTGCCGTGTCTGTGGGAATGAGCGCCGCAGTTTCGTCTACTACTACACATACAATACCTCACAGGTCATTTATAAATCCGTGTTGTAAATGCCCATTTCTGACTACAGTCAAGAACAGGCTGTTTTTGTGCATGTGCCTTTAAATGCATATGAGCTGCTGCGTGCTGCCCTCTCCACTAAAGTTCCTGCTTGAATCAGATTCTCTGCCAAATACTAACAAGACATCTACTTGGTTTTGATTATCATCTAAGTGTGAGCGATCACACTCACGGATAGAATAGTTCTTCTTTCATCATTAAAGTTTATTATTTCCAAGCGTTATAAAGATATCAGTTTAAACTTCTAATGGATCGTTTTCTGAGCGCACTTATCTGAACCACACGTACACAGACTTGTGGCTGTCAGACGTTAAGTCTCATGAGTAACCTCTTTCACATTTTTTGTTGTGTTTAAACTGTCAAATACACACAAGGGTCTTGTTCACCGTTGTTGTTTGCGAAAACAAAATAGCAGCGCCGTTGGTGGAAATGTACAGATTAAGGGGCGGTAATATTATAATAAGATTCCTTTCCTACGTCACAAGGGAAGGGAAATCTGAACTGCTCGTTTATCAACATGCCTGCAGACAAAGGCTTACCAAAAGGAAGTTACTGTTGTCCCTTTTCACGTTTTGTGGGTTACCAACCCACAAAACGTGAATTATAGCACTTAAACACTGAACAAGCCTGATTTTCTTGATATGTCCCCTTTAAAGGTGGATTCAGTTTTTTTTTTTTTTTTTTTTTGTACACTTAAGTGTGGGGCAATGTGGGGAAAAAGTTTGTATTTAATTATTGTAGATTTTAACTCAGTTGCTTTTCGGTGTATTTCTTTTTGAGAAACATATTTGTTGTTGTTCTTTTTATTAAAGAATACACTACTGTTCCAAAGCTTGATAATAAGGAATGTTTCTTGAGCAGCAAATCAGCATATTAGAATGATTTCTGAACTTTTTTTTTAAATATATGTGTATAGATTTTATTTCCCCTAGTCAGATGAGTAACAACTAAGCTATTTGGCCCTGTCTGGTTTCCTTGTATATGTGCATATACACGTGTAATCCACAAGAAATATTTTGTTTTCTTTCTTTAAAAGTTTAACTAAATCTGTTAATACATTATCCCCCAGTTTCACAGACAAGGCTTACGCCTAGTTTCAGACTAAAATGCATGTTTGAGCTGTTTTAACTGAAAGCAACTTGCAGTTACATAACTTAAAATAAAGGAATGTGTTTTTCTAATACACATTTATAAAAGCTACTTAAATGTCCTAATTGAACAAAGGCCTAATCCTGGCTTAATCTAAGACCTAAAACTATTAAAAAAGCAAAACAAAAACAAAAAGTCGCAATTAAATATATTGACTGACAGCCCTATTTAATGCATGTCAAATCCATAAAATATAATTGGGAAAGTTAAGAGCTCTCTGACTAATTTCAAATGCGCCATTCTTTAAATCAACCCATTTTTAATTCAAGTTAACTCTTCTTATCTGTTTTTCCATTTGTTAATTAGTTAGTATTGTCACAGTCCGCATGTTATCTCTATAGAGCCATGATCACAGTGATCACATGATCTCTTCCTCTGCTAATGATTCCAGCATGTTTGCTATTGCTATGGAGACAGGTGTCAGAAGCTAAGAAAGTGATTTCATGTCCTTTTGCTCTCTTGGCCCTTGTTTTCTGAAGTGGGGGGGAGGGGGAGGTTTTTGGATTTTAATTTATTTGCACAGCGCTTTCCAAAATAGGTATTGTTTAAAAAAAACAGCTTCTCAAAGAATAGTAGCTTATAAACCCTCAAGCGAGCAGCTAAAAGCGTTAGAGACAATAAACTCCCTTAGATGTTTCTAGGCAGAAACCAGTTATATCCCTTATAAGGATATCCCTTTTCTTTAGGTTGTTTGTTTCTGTCCCTTACTGGAAAGTAAATGACTGAGATTTACTGCTGCTCCTTTAATTCAGTCAGGCGTAGAATCATGGTTTGGCTTGATTCTCTAGAGAAGTGCACAATCATTGCTCTGAAAGTAGGGTCTGTTATGTGAAATGTAGCCCAGATGCTTTTAAAAGGGCAAAGCTCTTATTTTAACACAGGCATGGTTGAAAACACCCACAGAATGTCAGGAAATAACACATTATACTAATACTAGCTGACATTAAAACTTGTGATTCTGTAGAAGTTGTTTTGGGCCTTTTAAAAATGCACTTTGAAAACCTGTTGTGCCAGTAGCACGTCATAATAATAACTCATGTGTGAGAATAATGGATAAATAATGAGTTCTTGTCTTGTTAAGTGTTCAATAATGTGACAGTGTTTGTAATTGATTTATTATTATTATTGTTATTATTTAGTGAAGTGTTAGTATTATATGGAAGCTTGTTTCCGCCAAGGAATAAGAAAAAATGTAAAAGAAAATTGCGACTTTTTATTTCAAATTTATATCTCGCAATTCTGACTTTTTTTCCCTCGCAATTGCAAGTTTTATCTCGCAGTAGGGATGCACCGATAGGATTTTTTTTGGCCGATACCGATTTCAACAAACAACTACTGGCCGATGCCGATACCGATACCGATATTTGTCACTTGCATACTATTCAGTACTAGCTAGTTTATTTCTGCATCAAATTATTTTCACTGAACATGGATTGATCCATTTAACATTCATCTGACCAGCATTATAAGAGAGGCACAATGATAAAAAAAATACAATAAGACAACATGACAACGTTCAGAGGTGATTTTTGCTATCCAATATTTATTTATTTAACAATATGAAGTCATATTTGATTACTTCTTAACAATAGAATCATATTTAAAACTATTATGATAAAATGGCTTAATAACTCATGAACAGTTCATTCAGTTGTTGTGCATGTTGGACTAGAACATTAAATAATTTCAAATGAACATAGATCTGTTTAACATAAAGATTAAAAATATGACATGACAAACTTCAAATAGTTTTTTTGCAATAAAACATTCCTCCTTAACAAGTTACAACTGAATCATATTTAAAACAACTTAGCTTAAAAACTCATGAACAGTTAATTCAGTCGTTGTGCATGGTGCACACTAAACATTAAATCTTTTTAAATGAACATAGACCTGTTTAACATAAATATAAAAAATATGACATGACAAACTTCAAACTCATGAACAGTTCATTCAGTCCATTTGCTGTTATCAAGTATTAAGGTTGCTGCTTTAGAAACAGGGGCAGGTTCTTATTTATAAAAAGAAGCTTTTCAGCTAAATCCCTTTTATTTATTATTATTTGTGTTTTTTTCTCTCCTTTTTTTTCCTTCTTTTTTTTTTAAATTAATTCATTATTATTATTATTTTTTTTTTTTTTCATTATTTTATTTTATTTTATTTTTTTATGTATGTGTATACTGTTTCTGAACCCAAGTTGGGCTTGTATGTGTATGTTGTTTCTGGAAACAGTATACACCATGTATGTGTATGCTGTTTCTTGATCCCTTTGCTGTTGTCATTAGTTCTGGGCAAGTGTGGAGCCTGGGGCCTTGAGATAGTACCTTCACTCCGTCTGCCTGTACTCTTTTGCCCTGCATCTCTGGTTTTCTGTCAGGTTAAGCACTACATGTATTACCTTTCTTAATGCATTACATTTCGAGATACATTTAATTGGTTGCTTAAAACAAGGAAAAACAAAAAAACAAAACAAAAAAACACATAGGCCTAAGCAGGATAAGCGAGGCATGATCGTGGTGACCTGGGTTTGCATGGAGCTGGTTCCACGCTACACGTCTCGTTTTTTTTTCTTTTAATGCAATACACTAGCTGACATGCATATACATCTATCACGAGTAAGAAAAAAAGAGAAGAAAAAAAAAAAAAAAAGGGAAGGAAAAAAAACACACACACACAAAAAACAACAACAACAACAAACAAATAGGGTAAGCATGGCATGTGTGTGACGGCCGGAGGTGGGGAGTGTTCTTGGTGGTGAGTGATGGGGGGTCCTTGGGCCCCAGGCTCCGGTGCACATCGTCTTATCGCCTATAGCCCATAGTAGTGTGTCTTGGCCAAGGGGAGATCAGAGACATCTTTTTTTTTCTTTTTCTTTTTTCTCTTTTTTCTCATATTAGCCTTAATTCTTTTTCATTTTTTTTTTTTTTTTTTTTTTTTATTATTATTATTATTACTATTTAGTTCATTTTTATCATGTCTGTTTAGGGTTGCCACCTGTCCCGGTTTTACCGGGATTGTCCTTCTTTTTAATAACCTGTCCCGGGAAATTTACGCACTCTCCCGGGACACTGAATGTCCCGGTTTTCGAAAGGCTACGTGAATATGTATGTTCAAACTGTGTAGCGCGCGCAACGGCAGAGAGCGAGAGACCTTGCGTGTGTGTGCTAGTGTGAGTCGAGTCTGCCTCAAGAAGCGCATAAGAAGCGCATGTAATCTGAGTGTGGAGCGCGCTTGCTGCACGAGGCGCGGGCGCGAGCACTTCCGTTTTTCTATCAACAGTGGAAACAACTTAAAATAGGCCTACTACTCTATCATTTCTGGTCATAGAAAATAAACATCATTCGCAACAATACATCATTCGCAACTACTTTTATTTGTGTAAACTCACAATAACAAGAAAACGTTGTGCTTTTGTAAAATAAAATAAAACAATCAGTCGCGCTCTTTTATGGTCTCCGTGAACTGGATCGCGTCTCAAAATAAACAAGCCCATAGGCTAAAGCTTGAAATGTCCACTTTTAAACGAACAAATTCGAATCAAAAGAAAATACAGTCTGATTATGTAATCCATATGAATTTCTTCTCTAAAGGCGCATCTGCTTTACAGCGGAGATGGAGATATGTTGCAGCCGATTTAGAAAATACTAGTTTATTAATAAACAATTAAAATGCCTCGTTACTTTTTCAGAAACATTTATAATAGCCTATAAATCATCTATAGCCTTAGAAATATAGTGTTTGGCCTTAGAAAACCATTTTATCCATATAATTTGTGAATATTTTAAATGCTTATTAAAGGGGCAAAAAAAAAATCATGAACAAAAATCTGAAAATACGCGAATATAGGATATATTTTTGCGCAGCATTTGGTGTATAGGCGGGCCTACAGTTAAAATTTAAATTTTGGTGTTCAACCGTTCATTTTTGGTCTTCAAACACCCCTCTCTCCCCCCCCCCCCCCCCAGTTGGGCGGGTAATATGTCCCGGTTTTTTATCAGACATAGGTGGCAACCCTATGTCTGTTGTATCTGTAAGATTTTCTCCTGTTAAGTTATTTCCACTTGCACACCCAGTAATACATGCACACACACACACACACACGCTTATGTATGTTATTTTCATGTTTACATGTTATTGTCTATGTATGAGACCTTTATGTTTTTTGTTGTCATAATAAAAAAAAAAAAAAAAAAATAGCTTTTCTGCTTTTTCACAGTGCAGTCGGTTTCTTTTACTGTCCAAGACATTGGACGCAGCACTGAACAATCGTTCACTGTCGGTGCTTGTGCTCGGTGCACACAAATACTTGCGTGCAGTTTGCGCAAGAGACGGAAAGCGACCTTGATTGACACACCAGTATTGAAGAGGATTCTCATTTCTTTCAATTGGGATTTCTGCGAGGTAGGCATCCATTTGTGGCATGGTAGGGTAAATCCATGTGATAAATTTTCCTCCAGAACTTTGTCGAACATGTCACACAGACTGGGTGCATGTTCACTGTCCTTGCGCGACTTTTTGGCTTTTGGGTTGTCCTCTGGGTGGCGCACCGCGGGGTTTCCGTCTCTTTCGTCGCTCAAATCAAGCTGTGCTTGCAGCATCATGCGAACTGCCTGCTTTTTGTCCGTGTCGAAGTAGTTATCTTTGTATCTTGGGTCCAACAGTGTTGCGATACAATAAAGAGGTTCTGAGTCATTTTTAGCAAAACGCTTTGTCACCGCATCTAGTAGTGTTTTTTTGGTGGTTTTTACTCCCTGGTCAGTTTCAAGGTCCTTGCTCAGAAGCCGCTTTAGCGCAACAATTGATGGAATCACATCCGCTGCAGATGCTCCAGATGCATTCATCTCCCTCGTTAGTTGCTCAAATGGGTAAAGAATAGAAACTGTGTTCTCAATTAAACACCAATGATGGGCAGTTAATGTCACAGGCAGAACATAATCTGCACTATAAGCCGCGATTGCTTGCTTTTGATCCAAAAGGCTTCTCAGCATATAAAAAGTACTGTTCCACCTTGTTGAAACGTCTTGCTGAAGAATTTTTGGTTGCATTCCCATCTTAATTTGAACACTGTGTAAGCGCGAGTACGCTAGAGGGGAATGCTTGAAGTGGCCTACTATTCGTGGGCAGATTGCTATCACGTCAGATATGCTCCGTTGACATAACAAGCCCTCGTTGACAGCTAATTGTAAAGTGTGTGCAACGCAGGGTAAACTCGCGACATCACTGACATCCATTGCCTTTGTAATGTTTCTTGCATTGTCTCTGACAACTGCATGGACCTTGACTTTGTCGATTTTCCACGTTTCAAGCATTGTGTTGAATGTTGAAGAGATCGCCTCTGCGGTGTGTGAACCCGTAAATTCCTGTGCGTGCAGCAATATTTTTTGCAATTTGAAATCTTTATCAATCCATTGCCCAGTGAGACTGAGCATACAGGTAGGGCTTACATCAGAGCTCCAAATGTCGGTTGTAAAACTGATGGCTGAAATATCAGTGGCGAGGAGCTCGTGTAAATGCGCGGCTACAACATTGTACATGTCTGGCAGGCACACGTCCGAAAAATATCGCCGACTAGGTAGGGAGTAACGTGGCTCAAGGTGTTCAACAAGCCTCCGAAACCCCACGTCTTCCACGATGGAAAACGGCTGATCGTCCAGTGCGATAAATTCCATAAGTTTTTGGTTAATCCCCTTTGCTTTGATGCTGTCTTGAGTAAACTTTTTTACTTTTTCAAATACCTGGGCCACAGAGGGTGTCGGAACACTGGGAGGCGGCAGTTTTTTCTTGGCCGCACTGAGGAACGCAGCATGCTGTTCAGGATGCTTTTTCAGGTGGCAGATTAAATTGGATGTGTTGAAATTCTTAGCCGTGCTACCCCCTCTAGATATTTCAGCTGAACACTCGTTGCAAATGGCGATTTTTTGGTCTTTATCCGAGATTTTGAAAAAGGCCCAGACCGCAGACATTTTTCCGAGACTCCTATTCAGCGCGCATTTCTCACGTGAATGTCACGTGAACTTCCCCACCCCCCCGATCCACATCTGACAAACTATATTTTATTTCGTACACATTTAATTTTGTTTTGGTAAGTATTTAATTATTTTACCCAGAGAAAAACATTGAATATGCAACAGACATGCAACTCATTGCCTTCAAGCAATTAATTAACAAACCATCGGTATCGGCCTTTTTCATGCTTTTGCCGATATGCCGATGGTGTTAAATTAATCAAAAATCAGCCGATAGATATCGGCGGCCGATACATCGGTGCATCCCTATCTCGCAGTTCTGACTTCTTCAGAATTGTGAGATATAAACTTGCAATTGTGTGTTATAAAGTCAAATTCTGAGGAAAAAAAGACTGGCTTTATAGTTCATAATTCTGAATTCATAACTGGAAGTCAAAACATGGAAAACAATGGAATATTGATGTATGATTTAGTGGATGGGATGTTACTAATGGCCTCTTCACTTGAGCTGGTTGTTCTTAGCTTCATTCTTACTGTTATAAAGTGAAAAACAATGTTTTTTTTTTCTTTCTTTCTTGCCCTTAGGTCATATTCTGTCAAGAGTGACAACAGTTCTTTGGAAAATCAACATTCTGCTGAGAATGAACTAGACACTGCTGAAGAACTGGAGCGACAATCAGCCCAGCAATCAGATGAGGATTCATCAGTGTTACAAAACAGCGCAAGCAAGTCTGATCAAGAAAATTTAAACACAAAAAAGCCAATGCCAAAAAATGAGACAAAACCCACTGACCCAGACTTTTTTGGTGACCGGTATGCCACGGATGACGTTCCATCACAAACAGTGAGTGTCTGTTTGTGGTTTTTGGCTGTGAACTATCGTGCCTGTGTTAGTATTGTGAGCAATTTCCAGAAGAACCTGCGTAAATTCAGTTTTATTCAAGTGTTTGTACAAATGCAGTGGTCATTCAAATTTAATGGTCATTCAAATTCAGTGAAGAGCCATCGGAAGTTTGTCGTAAGCAAAGGTTAGTCTATCACAACAAAACGGCAGTATTTTATTCAGATTAAAAATACTAAATTCAATGACCCAAAATAAAATATCTGTGACCGGTGAAACCCATCTAAAAAATACATACACTACCGTTCAAAAGTTTGGGTTCAGTGAGATGATTTTTTTGACAAAAATGTATACTTTTATTAAGCAAGGATGCATTTGACTTTAATCAAAAATGACAGCAAAGACTTTAAAAGTATTTAAAATAAATGCTGTTCTTTTGAATTCTTTTCATTAAAGAATCCTGAAAAAAATACTGTTTCCAAAATTGATAATATGAAATGTTTCTGCAACACCAAATCAACATCATTTTAGAATGATTTCTGAAGGATCGTGTGACACTGAAGACTGTGAAATTATGCTCTCCCCCTCTCTCTCACAACCCCCCCCCCCCCCCCCTCTCTATCTCTCTCTATCTCTCCCTATCTCTCCCACACACACACACAAACACACTCTCTCTCTCTTGCAGAACTGTCCCAACAGCATTAGGAAGCGTGTGCCTCAGACTCAGTTTGCTGAGATGTTTCTACACAGTATTCCAGTGCTTCAATGGGCAAAGCATTTCACCCCAGACCAGTACCAACGCTTGAGTCAGTACGGTGGAGCACATGGCTGGGGAAGCGTTGATATTGAAGGTGTGTTGTTTTTTGGAATCTGATAGTCTTCCACAAAGTTCAAATGTACTTGCCTAGAGTGTTTTTATTGTCCAAGATGTTTTATCCTTATCTTAAAGAGTTAGTTCGCCCATTTAAGACATGAAGTTGTATGCAATCCTTACCAGCACTACAGTGCATACACACTGACCCACTCTGTTGTCACCTCCCTGGTCAGAGTTCTGGCCGCTGGAAGTTTTTCAATAAAGTACTCCCGGTTATTTTCCGGGGTCACAAAACTGCATTTTTACGTGAAAAAATTATTTGCGTTTCAAAGCTTGATTAATTTACCACACAAAAAACGCGCCGGTCAAAATTCATACCTCAGTTTTAATCGGCACTATTTTCTATCCATTTCTATCAATCCGCGCTGCTGTCAACGTCAACAGTGCGCACGTTCCGATCAGCTGTTGATAGCGCGACTCGCTGACAACATGTCTGACTACGAAACTTCTGATGATGAAACCAATTTTAACACAATGTCAGACGGATCAGATGATGAAAGTAATTTTAGCACAACGACAATGTTATTGATTGCAACACAAAACCTCAATTGTGTGTGTGTTCAATCAAATAGTTTTCTCAGCAAATTGTACCAATATCCCTATAAACTGTTTTTATATTAGAATATATATATATTTTATATTCACGTGTTTTATAATGGAGTCTAAACATCAGCTTGTTTACCGTACAGTTTAGACATGGGATCATAAAGTTAGTAAATAGAGCTTACCCGTGGTACTGGTACAGCAAAACTCTTTAATTTTCCTTTTCCTCCTTGGTTGGGGATGTAATCGTCTTCGCTGAAGTGAGCACTACACACACGAAAATCCTTTATTCTGGATATTTTAGCTCCCGCAGAGTAGCCGATAGCAACCAGCCAAATCAACAACACGCGCTTGCACCCCCTGCTGGTGAGATCGACTAACAGCAGATGGAGATTATGCTCGGTAAGCTGTCTCATAGTTATATTCGAAACAGGAATACGATGGAATCTGAACTTTGATCGCGGCACATCCTTGTGGTCACAGCCTGGGAATTTACAAGTTCGCACCATTGTTAATTTAATACTTTTTACGTCGTTGTAAATCATTTGTGTAAACACTATGGAACAGCTGATCGGAACGTGCGCACTGTTGACGTTGACAGCAGCGCGGATTGATAGAAATGGATAGAAAATAGTGCCGATTAAAACTGAGGTACATGAATTTTGACCGGCGTGTTTTTTGTGTGGTAAATTAATCAAGCTTTGAAACGCAAATCATTTTTTCACGTAAAAACGCACAGTTTTGTGGCCCCGGAAAATAACCGGGAGTACTTTATTGAAAAACTTCCATCGGCCAGAACTCTGACCAGGGAGGTGACAACAGAGTGGGTCAGTGTGTATGCACTGTAGTGCTGGTAAGGATTGCATACAACTTAATGTCTTAAATGGGCGAACTAACCCTTTAAGTCTAGATGTCCTGTAAAGAAAAATTTCCAAATGCTTTTATTAGAGATACAAAATATTTGGAGGTTTCACTATGACAGCTCCCTCTACTTGGTCTTTGACTGACAGTGACTGAATGACTAAATTCAGCACCCTTATGGGAATATGGTGTTTTGTAATTATTTCAATCTGACTAATTTTCATGTTGCTTGTCGTAAATTAACCTCTCAAAACAATTCTAGAGGGGTTTCAAATCAGATCATGACTTTCTGTTATGAGACATGCAGTTCACATGTCCACTGTAGAGGACACCAGAACTTACTGCAAGCTTATCAGGCATTTTAGGGAAGAAATTATTTATTTATTTTCAAAATATTAATTTCATAATTATTTATTTTCATAATATGAGATATTATGAAAATGTTGCCAAGTTATTACTCAAATTATTATAGCTACTTCTTTTTTGTTACATGTCGCCCAAAGAATATGCCAATTAATATGCTTAATTAGAGACAATCAACAGGAAAACCTTGATTTACATTAAACGCCTATTAAATGCAGGCACTAGTATACATACAAAAAGCAAATATAACCATTTTCTAAAAAATCTTCTCCAACGTTATTCTCATATCTGTTTTACAGAGAGCAAGTTACGGAAAAAAAATGACTTGTATAATGAATATACAGTTTTTATAGTACTCATGAAGTAAATATATTTAATGTGTAATTGTTTTGTGGAGTTACTTGTAATTATTTAATCTAATTTCTATAGTGATTAAATGAACATATGTGTAACATGATGGACCAAAATGATTAGTTGTGTGTGTGTGTGTGTTGTTCACAGTTTTGAAGAGCTCACTGGGAATTTTAAATACAACCGCGAACCGGTTGATGTTTGATGACTGGGAGAAGAGAAAGAACAGACCCCAGTGTATCCGCTGTGCTGTGGTGGGAAACGGCGGAATACTGAATGATTCAAGAAAAGGCAAGGAGATCGATGAACATGACTATGTCTTCAGGTGAGGAGGTTGATCATTAAGAGATACAGATGTTTATTATATCAGTGCTCCTCAAAGTGATGCAAATCTTATAAAGAAAGCAGTTTGCATGTCTGGTAGTCTTTTACTAATTTGTATTTTTTTGCATTGGAGGTCTTCCACAATAGGTTTACATGCATCCAAAGTCAAAAACAAATTTTCTCATAATATACATTGCAGAATCACCTCAAGGATCCGGTCTCGCTAAACACGACTTTGCTCTGATTGGTCAGATGGCTCAGTCTCTTGTGATTGGTCTACTGCTTACAGCGCAAGTCGGAAACGAAACGCCCATTACCATATCTGAATTTCAGCTCCAGAGGCTTCCTCAGCACTTGATAGACAGTTAAGATGCCGTTGGTTTTACCGTGTCAATTCGAGCGCGAGCCCTCATCCTTTGGTAATGCCTACAAAGTGGATTTGCTTTCACAGCACAGAAAACAGCATCTTCTCAACATGTTGACAATAGGGATGTCACGGTGAGGAAATTTTCGCTCGGGTATATAAACTTAAGACAACACCGGTATTACCGATAACAGCAGGGGGAGGGGGAGAGTTTATGACAGTGGCGTGCCGTAGCGGCCAAGTAATGTAATCATTGTATGGCCGAACACAGTGTAACACCGGGAACACCGACTACTGCAGCAAGCCTATTCTACAACAAAAACTAAACTCTTCCAGGCCTCAGCTACAACTACAGTGTTTAAGGGCGGGTCAAAGTAGACATTGTTCGTGGACAACCAATGAAGGCCATAAGCAGAAAGTAAGACTGGAATTACTGACGACTCATTTCAGGCAGTTTCCAATTGGCTATTTCTTTTGGGAGAAAATAACGGTTTATTGATCAATATCACAATGCTTCTCTTTTTCTGTCTCCCAACTTCAGGGTGAATGGTGCGGCTCTTAAGGGGTTTGAGAAAGATGTGGGATCCCGGACATCATTCTACACGTTCTCAACCAACACCATGCGAAACTCCATGCGTAGCTATGCTGGCGTAGGCTACAGAGGTCCACCCATATCAAAGGTAACCAATGATGTCAGACTAGTATACGTCCACACAAAGATGAGACGCAGTGCTCCGCTTATTATTAAGTATCTTTAACCATGTACTAACATTTAAATTAATAATTTGATACACTGTGCACTTGTGTACATGCATGTTTTTACACTGTACTTCTGTAATTACATATATAATTACACTGTTGACCCTTCCCTTAACCCAAACCATGACCTGTATCCCACCTCAAAACATGTATGTATGTCTGTACTGTATGCATGTACATATCTATGTATTTATTTTTTGATGTAAGCGCATGGTAGTTAAAGACACTAAATATAAAGTGTGCCCAGACAAAGTAACTCCACTGTTTGTCAAAATTATTACAGAGTGAAATAGTCATGACTACAATCTGATCAAGTTCATCCAACACCCTTTTGTAAGTTGAGTGAGTTGTGACGTTGTTGTTTGCTAACTCTCTCTTCATCTTGATCTCCATCTGTTCAGGAGACCAGGTATATATTCCTGCCAGATCATGACCGAGATTACATTCTTATGAGGGCGGCTTCGACACACACAGCAATTGATAAAGGCCCTGAGCGCAGCAAAAAGTAAATATAAAAAAAAAATTCATATGTAAACGGATATTTTTAAAGTTCCTTAAACGTATCCTTGATCGCTATAACAGATACAGTCATTGTTTTTAATCACTATTGTAAATAAATATTAAAAAAGAAACAAATGTTAGTTGGGTTTATATAATACAGTACATTGTATACACAATTAAGACTCAATTTAATTGTAATGTGTATATCTCTCTCAGACCCCCTACATACTTTGGTGAAGATGTGACAGTAGAAAAATTCAAAATCTACCACCCAGACTTTATCCGTTACCTCAGAAACAGGTAAGCTTTGCAAACAGAGACTAGGGATAATGAACACTCCGCCAGTCGTTATTGCAAAATTAATCCCAGACAGGGAGATTAAGAAACACAAAGCGGCTGACTGCACATTATCCCGCTTATTACATCACTGCTTGATTTGAGTTGAAATTACATGAGAAGAAAGATCCTGCAGAGTGAAACGAGACGCATTAATCTGGCACAGCTATAGCGGAAATCCGTTGCAGGAGACAGCGGTCGATTATACAGTTCAGTGCTCATTATACATAAATATATGACCACAGAATGCTGCAATCAACTGAAAGCGGCATGTTATAAAATGTTGTATGTTTTGTTTAGTTTTGCCTTCATTTGTATGTAAATATCGAAGTTTAAAACTTTTCTTTTTCATCATCAAGGTTCCTGCATTCGAAACTTCTGAAAACAGGTGCGAGAAGAATTTACAGGCCGTCCACTGGAGCAGTAATGCTCCTGGCTGCAATTCATACATGTGACCAGGTTTGTTTAATCGTTTTACAAATGACACCAAACATGTGTCTTGTGAGTGTGCCCTGCAGTAAAATACTCATTATACAGCAGGGCACACTCATAAGACACATGTTTGATGAAACACCCATATCCTCATCCATCCATTTAGAGGAGGTCACAATTGATAAGAAACTAATGACAATAAAACATTATACCTCAAATTGTATGGAAACAGTTGTCAGTTATATAAAATAGTTATCAAAAGTTTGAACACTGTTTTAGTGACACTTATTTCACATATTTAGATATGTAGTCTAACCAGACAGTTGGCTGCTGTAATTACCTATTAAAGACTCACCTGACAGGCTGTATTGGCATCATTAAAAAAAACTCAGGCTTATTGGAAGTGCATCCCTCTACTTGCATTTTCGCTAAAAGTCCCTGCAGTTTCCAGCTAAAAATAAACACTAAAAGAATTGATTTCATTTCCGAACTGCTGCAAAATGCACAAAACCAAAATAATAAAATGTTGCCAGATTTACTTTCAACTGAGCTTTTAGCTCCACTTACTGTACATTTCACTTTGAAACATATTTTAACAGGAATGCCATCTTGCTTGTATTTCCAATGAGCTTGGGTTGCATAAAACATACTTGATTTGTCTTTGTGAAAGTTTGTGATTATATGACGTTTGTGTTATTAACAGGTTGATGCTTACGGGTTCATGACCCCTGACTACACCTTGTATTCAGACCACTACTATGACAAACAGAGACATCCAGTGCGTTTTTATGCCAACCATGACATGCGCATGGAAATGAAGTTGTGGCAAGAGCTGCATCAGGCTGGTCTGATGAATATTTTCATGCGTCAGTGAGTACAAATGGATGGATGCCCCACTTTGTATGAGATGTTTTTTCACTGTCAGAACTGAAAAGCCTGTGAGAGACGTGTGCTGGACAAACCGGTTATACTCTCCCCCTCTGTACGAGGCATTTTTGCTTTGGAAGGTAAAGATCATATATTGTTGTTCAACAAGGAACTACGTATAGAAGCTACATAGTGAGTTCTCAAGAGACAAATGACTGGCTAATGTGTCATGAGGAGAGGCCTTGTAAACATGGTTATAGACAGGAGTAACTCTTGTTTTATTGGCCGGTATTTGTTCACACATACGAAGTGTCACATATTTCAGATCGAGGCTGGAGGAGATTAATCGAGATGCTGCTTTTGACCACATACAAGAATTCTGTAACACGTGCCTTAGGACTTCTCAAATGGCACACTACCGTTGTGTTTGAGAGAAACAGAGTTTAAAGGCTTCAGAGCACCACACTAAATCAAAAGTAATCAACCAAAGAGAATATTTTTAATTTAAAATTTTATATTCTTAATCATATTCCTTTAATCGGGTATGTGTTAATGTATGGTTCATCCAAAATGCACTTGTTGCATCATGTGTCAATCAAGAAGGGTTTTCTGTTTTTCAGAGGAAATTGTATGCTGTTAAGTTTAAAGCTTAACTTTACTTGGAAGTTTTAAAGTGCAATATCTTATGTTGACTTCACAAGCTTTTTGAATCAAAATGTGAATTTCTTTTATGATTTATTGTATCTATTCTGTTAAGGTCTGTTTGGTCACTTGATGCCATCTCTTGATTATATTTAATAATTTTTATTACCGAATAATTTAACTGTTATGTTCATTCTGGTCAACTTAAGTGGTTTAGAGATTCATGTTGAGAGAGTTTAAAAATTGCTTCACTTTTATAAAATGGTTAAGGGTTTTTGGAAACTGACGGTAATTAATAGAAAATGGAAAGATGGTCCTACAGGTTTTTAAGCTCAGAATAAATCTTTTTTAAATTGTCTTGTTGGTAATAAATGATATGGCTCCATTTTTTTTTTTTTTTTTTGGTTAGTTAAATTAATTTGCCCTTTAAAATTAAAAAAGAGGATGCTTGTGTGTTTAGAGAGATTTACAAATCTAATGTTCAGCATCCATCCCGGTATTATTTTAATTTTCATCATCTTCATTTTAATTATCTATGTGCCTAAGGTGTGAGCTGACAAAATGCAATGTCAATTTGTTTATTGGAGTTAAATATTTGCACCACTTTACAGTGTTGTACATTCTATGGTACATTTTATTGGAAGTTCCTTCAGGAATGTTTGGTTTGATCACATTTCTCTGAGCACAAAGTCATCACCACCTGTCATCAGTCAATATCATACTTCATATTGATTTAAATGTATATCATTTTAATATATTTTAAAATATCAATTTTAAGGAAACTAGAAACATACATACTGAAAGAAACACCTCTATTATATCCTGACAGAAGGAAGGGATTATTATTTTAAGTTTATATATATATATATATTAAGGTTGTCGATTTAACGCCTTAATTTAATTAATCAGCTGCCCAAGACCTATGTAGTTCATCTTACATTTGATACAGTTGATTGGTAATGTAGTAGAACACTATGCAGGACAACCTGTAGCCTGTAGAATGCAGTTAATGCCCCTAAAATTCAACATATTGGAGCAAAAATGTCCCCGTATGATTTTTTTTGTCTCTCATCTAGGCCTACATATGATATAGTTGAGCGTTATCACACATTGCATTTTTTTATCCTGAATAGAACGAGTGCGAATTTAATATGATTTTATACAACAGTTCAATAAATAAGAAGTTAATATTGTGATATATTTTACACACAATATTGTCTGTTTTTGCTCAATTTTTCCAACAAAAATATTACCTATAAAGCCAGAGCAGAACTTTTTGTGCGTCTATAGGCAAGTTTTGTTTCTGAATGAATCCGCATTTTGAGCAAATCAATTGGGTGAACCAGTGATTCAATGGCCCATTTAGAGAGCCATGGACAAAATTTCAGGCTGGGAAATCTCTCACCTATCCAGGCCATCCCATACACCCACAACAAATTTTGGAACCACGGAGAACTACAGTATATATTTTGTATGGCAATCACATAAAAAGGTTTGAATCCTTAGACTGGGGCCAGGTAAAATAATTAAAGGTTCTCTCTTGAACTGCACCTTCACTTCACTTCCCTTCCCTTTTCATTCTCTTCATTTTCCCTAATATATCTGTCTCGACTCTCTCCCTTGTTTATGCACTTTTTTGATACTTCTCTTCTACCTGTCCCTTCTTCTACAGCAGGTCTACTGTTATGAACACAACAGTCAAAGTTGTTGGGGGAAAAAAACATTGTAATTTGTTTGCTCAGACAGAATATAAATTTATTTTAGGTAAATTCAAAGTATCACATTAGAACAATGTGTTGTTGTTTTATCTTAAAATGTCTTAACTATCCAATATTCAACAAAACGATTTCATTCAAATTTATTAAAACTAATTTTCTAAATTACTTAAATGTCTAAGTTAGTGCAATAATAAATACATCATGACAATATCTTTCTAGAAAAATCATAATACTGAACATGTTATTGCATTATTACTCATATTTTGTGTTGTTGTCTCCCCTGCCCTGGGGGAACGTGCATCACTATAAGTGTAGGCTATTGTGGTTGTCAAAACATTTGATAGCATATAACTACACATATTTTTATTAAGTTTAGTGACAGCATGGTGCAATAATTGGTATAGGCTAGGCCTACTGCTTTTAATTACAACAACTTTATAATATTTTAATGATATAAGTAAAAAATATAATAAATATGTAATATAGTGCACATATTTAGCAAAATACTCACTTATACTAATACTAAATATATTATAAAATACTCTTTTAGTCATTAAAAAAGTCATTAAATGGCTTTCCTGAGGTAAATGTAACGTTATGTGACATTGTAGTCTACTCCAGCATTTTATTGACCCCTTTCCACGGTTGAAAAACACTGATTGGTCGATATTACAGTATGTATGAGGCATATACATTTCGGTAAGTTACTGTATCTTTCAACTCACACCTATTGATCATTCATGTTTATTTACTATTAACTAGGCTAGTGAAGAGAGATGATCTGTTCACGTGCCATTTGAAATGAGGCGCTACAGCGATCTGTCACATTTAAAAGCGCCAAAACGGTATTTATTGTTAGAATTTCGTAATAAAATTGACAGAATCTGAGAGCTGTGAATTTGTTCCATATCAAAAGTAACCGTCTCTGTCTAGTCTGTCGGTGTCAGCGTCCTCTTTGCTTCAGAAAACTGAAAGAGGCTTCGGCAGTCTTTACCCCAGTGTTCAAGAACTGGTGTTGTGTGCTTTTGATACCATAAAAGAGAAACAATTTTAACGATGAACAAATCTTATGCTAAGTCAATTGCAAGCTTGGCTAATGAACGTTGCATTTGCATACTCTTCTGCCATCTAGTGTTGATTGTTTTTAATTGCAGCCATATTGAATAATGTGTTCAGATCTCAGTTTAGTGTGCTGTCTGTGTAATTATTGATTGAGGTGAAAGACTTGAGCACGGAGGCACTGAATGTGGTTCGTTTACCTCTTATTTTTAGACGTCGATATTCCACTGTTTGCGGTCTCCAAAATGGCCTGTGTGTTCACCTGACAGGGGTGCCTGGGGCTGAGAGCATGGACAAGAAATACCTGAGAAAGTTGTTATTCAGCCAGAGATGAGGACTTGATGCCACAGTGCTACAAGTAGACTGACGATGTAAAGGTGGGATGTGAATGCAGTTATGAAATTACAGTTATGTGATGAATTTCACAATATTACAGCGTGTGGGTGAAGTGTTTATCTGCTTTCTTTACACTCACTGTTCTGTTCACTGTTGTCTTTGCGCATCTTAAAGTCAGCATGAAACGGAAAGTGCGATAGTCTTTTCTTCCCTATTGTGGCGTATATTCCAGTGAATCTGCTTCTCGAACAGGATAAAGGGTGGGAGTGGGACTTGATTTTGTTGTCCCGCCTGCGCGCCATTAAACACGTCATCAGAAAAGACTCAAAAGAGATTTCTGCTATTGGGAGGGGAAGTTATTTTGATTAAATATTACGAGGGTCTTTTATTATTAAAATCTTTGTACGTATATATTTTTTTCATATTTTTTTTCTTTATTTTTCTTTTCTTTCTTTCTTTTTTTCTTTATTTATTTTCTCCTTTGTGTCCTTATTAATAATGTTTTAAAACAAAATGTAGTACTAATTATTTTTAAGTGGCAACTGCGCAGATCTGCCCACAAGACTATATTGGGTCCAAAATAAACTGAATTTTAACTTAAATAACTTAATTTATGTAGATACAAAAAATATCCACAGCATTTTATCAGTTACATGAGAAAGCATTTTATGTAGCACAACCACATGCTTATAATTTAGTGAATTATCACCCTTGTTGCCACAGCATGGGGAATTTGATCAATGTCTTTTCACTCAGATCCATCGCACCCAGAACAACTTCATCCGCAGTCCAAAGTCATGCTGTATGTCAGCTGGAAATCATTTGGAAGTGTCTGTAGAACAACATTTTAGCTCCCAACATGCTTGTGTAAGCATAAAACCCTCAGTAATGACTGAGGCGAAGATGTTATCATAAATGAGTGCTGGCAGGACCGGTGCAGGATATTTTAATACTTGTAATGACCATTAACTCTCACCATTTGACTAATGAGGGGAATGAAATCTTGTGTCTATGGCCCTTCAGAGAGGCCCCATCTTACTTCCCTAAAGCCATGAACTGGCAATGCAACTTATGCGAATGAAGCAAAAGTGTGACCTTAAAAAACCTGGTTGGAAACATGATATAGAAACAGCATTATTGTTCTTGTTTCACCACCAACAACCTCCTATTACAGACTGTACTTTGATCATCTGTCATCTGTATCTTAATTGTTCATCACAGCACTTATCTATTTTTGGCCTGAGGTTAATATGATGCCAGCTGTTATTTGT